TTCTGCTACATTTTCTCTCAGTACGTTTATCACGATTAATAAAATGGATAAAAATTAGGATAAGAGTTCGCAATTATTAATAATGATACAAAGTTTCTATTCTTGTAAAATTCTATCTACTTAAATACTTGTCACTTTTACTGAATATGCTGCTGGTCTTTCTCTATTTTATTTTTTTTCTGTTCTTCAAACTCTATCTGTGCTCCTCCGTACTCTTTTTTAATTGAATGTGGGAAGGATGAGGAAAAAAAAAATCTTAATGTGAAATGTAAACGTGGTATGTGCAAAAAGTGCCTAAAATTCCAATTAAATTATTATTTAATAATATACTTAAATTCAACGACTCAATGGTAATGTCAATTAAAAAAAGAATTCAGTTAATGGAGTAGAAAGAAAAGAAATAAGTGGTGGAGAATTACAGAAAAAAATTGAATTAAAAAATAAAATTCAAAGAATATGAGTGAGAATGAATTATAAGATCACTTATTTTGAATATTTAAAATATTTTATTCGTCAAAATAATCAACGAAATCAAAAAAAAAAAAAAATTTTCAAGAGTAACGAGGACACAATAAAAAATTAATTAAATAAACAATGTCAATAAAATAAATGCATATAATTAAAGGTAAAATTATGATTAAATTGTCATTGAAATTATTATTGATTGCGAACTGTGAGTGATGGAATGTTATGAAAAATGAATGTGGGGGAAAAATTATTATGATTGCGCAGTAACGTTAGACAGATGTGATATAAAAATTAGATCTTACAAATAATGATGAGTAAAAGGGGGGAAAAATATTTAAACTGTGCATATGGTTGTTAGTATAATTACACAACGTATAAATTGTGATACCCCACCCGAAAACTTAAAAAAAAAAAAAATACTTGACTGATATTTACAGGATATTGTTCCATTTGGATCTCCCAATGAAGCCGGGGTATTCAAAAGCAATAAAAGACGTAGGCGGGAGGGGAGGGTTCTATGACGAGCCGCCCCCGACAAAAATAGTTAATAATTAATTAAATTTATTAATGAAAATCATGATTCAATAACATTATTATATACATACGCATTTACAAACAACGCATTTATGCATTAAAAAAATTTTCATCAAAGTTAAAAAAATTATTTAAGCCCTAATCATTAAATTTTATAACAACAATAAGAACACCACTTTTATTATAATATATAAAAACATGTTTTTTAAGTAATTATTCATAAAAATAATCATTAATGTGTAATTATTGATTAATAATATTCCATTTAAAAGAACTAATTATTTCGGAATCAAATACTAGAGTATTTCATCATAAAACAAGGCCTAAATAATTTTTTTTCGCATTTATTCTTCCAATATATAACATGAAAGATAGCAATTAATTGTGAAAAATCACAATAAAATAATATAACATTTTGAAATTCGAAATACGATCATATAATAAATAGAAACGAATGCCTATAGCAATCTGCTACCATATTCAATTAATAAATATATTAATAAAGAACAAAAAATAATAGCCAGCTTTTTTACACGATGCAGTGTAAAATATCATTGGACGATTGTTTTAAAAGTATTATAAGATATTAAAATGTCCTTGCATCGTTGTATAATTCATTAATTACGTATATATTAAAGAATAAAAAAAATAAATAAATTTAGTTTTTAGAATGATGCAAGAATATTAAGACGGTGTAATTTCGGGTAAAAATAGTCTCCAAGCATTACTATAAGGTGTATTCAATATTTTCTAGCTTTTACTTAAGATTGCAATGATTGAAATAATAAGAAAAAATACAAAAAAAATATAAAGTAATAACTAAATAGTTTGAGTGATGAGGCGATATAGAATGTGTTGAAAATATTATACGCTACAACAGTTATATTTATAGAAATATGTTGAACAAGTATAATTGCTAATAATTATATGGTAGATGAAGAAAGGAAGATGAAAGCACTTTTAAGTTAAATAAATTACGAACTAAGTAGAGTAACATAAAGGGGCAGAAAAATTCGAATATTGAATTTTAAATAATAAAATAATACCGAAAAAAAAAATTCAAATGTAACTGAAAAATAATTATTGCAAAAATAATTATGTCAATAATTATAAAATGCATTTAAAATAATGAATAAATCTATTCATTGAATACCAAAAAGTGTAGATCAGGGACAGTTGAATTGATGAAAAAAAAAATGATTACTGAAATAAATTAGTTTATGAAAGAAGCAATTTCAAATCAATTATCTTTGCATGATTATGTAGGGCTGTACTGCCACCGAAGCAATACAAAGAGCAATATAGTGTTATTTAAACGAGCAAATGACATAAATTAATGATAACATAATATTCAAAGTAATGAAAGGATAAAAATTTTTAAATTAATTAAATGATAACGGCAACTATTAATGATGGAAATTTAGCTAACAAGCATTCTGTATGACGTCATTAAAATATTCTAATCGTAGTGCTAATTGTACTTAGCATTTACGTAGATTTACACTAATGCCTAGGTGAGCGTGATTGATTGGATTTATAACTACTAAATATTAATAAAGGATTAAACAATAATGATAATAATTTTCAAAAAAATAAAAATTTAAAAAAATAATTGCAACCAAGTTTTTTAAATTTTAAATTCAATCTAATGTCGCTCGCTTGCCAGATAGTGATATAAACTTAACAAGTAGTTTATCAAAATATTTCTCTCTGTGCTCATGGATTTTTTTGTAACTCATTAATATATATATATATATATATATACATACATAGATATATTAATTGTGTTAATGAGTTAAAAAAAATTATTAAAAAAAAAAAGAAAAAAAAATTTTTTTTGTACATATAGATGAATTATTTTTGAAGTGCTTTTATTAGTGACCAATAATTTAGTATTTTATAAATGTCATTTTTTGTAGAGAATAATAATTAATTAATGAGCCAAGAACATTGATTGAAATATTCTTGATGTTAGTATGGTGTGAAGATAAAAAAAAAAAATGAAACAATAGTGACGCTAGATTATTTATAAAACTTAAGCTTTTTTCTCGTTATTATTGTAATTAATATTTACATACGTTTGTATTATTTGTAATTAGTATTAATACAAAACTCCATTACATCGACAAGATAATGAGATAAAAAAAAACAAAAAAAAAAAAAAAAATTAATACCACCGTGAAAGAAAATAAAATACCTAACAATTGTCAAACGGGCACTGTCTTTTTCAATCAACAGAATTATCTTTCATTTCTTTTCTGTCCAACGTGCTAAATATTTTATCAGTCTCAGTCACGTCAGGTCACAGACAAAATAATTTAAAAATATATATATTGAACGAAATATTAAGATGAAAAAATAATAAAATAAAACAACTTTACCTAACTCGACATGCTTCTAAATAGTGTTGGACGGTAATGTTATAATAAAATAAAAATGAAAAAAAAACGTTAATTGAGCATTGTTATCTATGTAATACGACATAGGATGTTTTGTATTATATTTTCATAATAAATAGAAACGTAGAAAAAAAAAATGTATTAACCATATTCGTTGGATGTTTATTAAAACAAAGTCCTTCTAATCAAAACTCTTCAAATATTGCAGTGTTATTAATGTCATTATTTTCATAACTCAAGTATATTTTTATGATTTCAAACCTTCAACGTCTTGAGTTTTAATCGATTTTATGGATAATTAAGGTCAGTTGTTTGCACATGCTCATTCGACACATTTAATTTTTCTAAATATTTTTTTTTTTTCTGATTTTGGTCTCATAAAAGAATAGGATTTTTTTTTTTTAATTTACTAGAGTCTTTTATTTTAAAAGCTCTGATAAGGTAAAGTCACTAAAACCCTGTCCTAATTTCAGAGTCTTTAATATTTTAAAGCTTGCGATACTAGGACAAGAGGAAGTTAATTTAATGCCATTAGATTAGACTATTTTGAATAGAACCAGCCCAAGTGTGAGAAATTAAAAGCCATTATAATAAAATACCTGTTAGTGGTAAAAAGAAGTTTTTATATTGTTAAATAGTTGAAAAAGAAATTCTATTCTTATCAAAAAAATAGAGTATGGCATTGAATAGTTTGACTTTATCGAAAGAGATAACTTGAAAAATTTTCTTTCAATAATGTGTTAAAAAAAAAGTTAGTTAAAAAATTCTATGTGAACTTTCAAGTAGTATTCACTTTTTCTTCAGCCTCTTTTTTTCTCTGTTCAGGAGAGAAAAGAAAAATAAAGATGCTGCATCTATAGAGCTAGTCACGTTTTTCCTCTCGATATAGAACACTATACCCTAAAATCTCTTTATTTTTTTTTCTACCTCTGCAGCTTTTAAAGAATGATAAAGATGCATAAATGCATTATTTAACAAGTAACTTGGTAGCATTTTGTAGTAATACTACTTTATTTGAAATGTCTTCAAATTACTCAAAAATTAGATCAAGTCAACAATTAATGTTAAAATGTTTAAAGTCGTAAAATAATTCACCATCTTGCTTGGAGTCTACTAAAAAAGTTTCACTACTATTCATGAAAGCAATTTAACTTTTCTATTCTTAGATCCTTTATTGTTTTTTTTCTTTTTCATACAAATAATTAATGAATGCTTCAAAATCCTTAATTAAGTGAAGAGGAGATTTCATTACTTCGGAAAAAAACGTACGACAATCTACAATTAGTGTATGAAGTGAGTGGAATTAAGGTGAAAACTTTAGGGGAGAAATCCTAATGGACATGGTTTTAAGCAATGCCACTAATGAAATTTGTTTTGTCATAATAATCCTCTTTTACAACTAAATCAATCTTTTTTTATATAAAACTCAATAAACTAAACCTTTATTTTAAACTTAATTCAAAAATATTTTTTAGAAAACTTCTTGAAAGTTTGTGTTTAACTTTTGATAAAAAATAAAAGTTGAATATCAAAAGAAGTTATTTCTTTAATTTTACTTTTATAATTCATAAAAATTTTATCCACGTGTAGAAAATAAAAAGACCATAAATTCAGTCTCTATCTGATGTCCTTGTTTATATATCATAGTAATATAAAGTAGAAAAAATTATTAGAGTACATAAATTTTTATATAGCTGTATCATCATAGTATTATGTTGGATGTATTATACATCAAGCAATGGCTTTTACTTCTTTCAAAGTACATCAATAAAAATTCATGTTTCTAAAATGTTACAATCATTGTTTTTATTAATTTTACCTTTAATCAGTACTTTCTTCTGCATCTTATCGAAAGCTGAATTCACAGAAATAGTAGAAACAGATAAGGGCAAAGTTCGTGGTGAAATATTGACTACGGTTCAATCGTATCAGAAATATTCAGCATTTAAAGGAATTCCATATGCAACACCGCCAATCGGATACGGAAGAAGATTTCGAGTAAGTAGATTTATTTCTAATAGGATTTGATTTCCATCAATAATTAAAAATATCCTGGACTTCAAAATGGTTAAATTCATTCAAATGATTTAGAAAAAAGTAAGAATCTTTTTTTTCTCCAATTTAACAGCGTCCTGTTGAAGCTCAACCTTGGGAAGGTGTTCTAGATGCTTTAAATGATCCAATACCTTGTGCCCAAATAGATGCTCAAACTTTACGTTATATGGGTGATGAAGATTGTCTTTATTTAAATGTCTATACTCCCGAGGTACAAAAAGATGCTAATTGAAGATCAGAATTTAAATAACAGAATAATAGAACTTTTTTATTTTGAAGTTGAATTTCAAAAAACCTAAATCAAGAGCTGTCATGGTGTGGATCCATGAAGGAGCTTTTATGTTTGGATACGTCAGAACTTCACGTTATGGTCCAGATTTTTTAATAGAGAAAGATGTTGTACTAGTTGCTATGAATTATCGTTTGAGTATATTTGGTTTTTTTACATTTCGACCTACATATTTTGACAGCAACAATGGGTTGAGAGATCAAGCGCTAGCATTAAAATGGGTGCAAAAAAATATTCATAAATTTGGTGGTGATCCAACCAAGGTAACTATTTTTGGTGAAAGTGCTGGTGGATCTTCTGTTGAGTACCATAGATTATCTCCTATATCTCAAGGTTAGTATCTTATTCAATTGAATGAATTTGACACGAAGTTTTTCTGAATAATATTTTAGTGGCCTAAGTATGAAACTGATCATGTGAAATTCGAATTAATTAATAAAAGTCTAATGTAGGATTATTTAGAGCATCAATATCAATGAGTGGGTCAGCTATGCATGAATGGGCTGCCATTGGCGAGAAATTGTCAAGACAATATGGAGAGATTATGGTTACTAGAATGTTACAAATTCCATTGCTCAGTGATCAATATGTGTATAATCGAATGGTGAATGAAGATACCTGGAGATTAATTAGATTTACAATATATATAATACTTGGTGCGGTAAGTGTACTTAAATAATAGTTGAAATAGACAATTAAAAATATCAATCATGAAGGAAATTGATTAAAACTTTTCAGCGTGATTTAATAGTAAAACCAGCAGTCGAAAGCAAAGCTGTAGATGATCCTTTTATCCCCAATGATTCTACATATATTTATCGATCTAGAAATTGTAGTCCAATTCCACATATATTAGGATTTACAAACGCAGAAGCAATAGCAGTTCTCAATTGTAGGGAATGATAATTAAAATTTTTAAATTAATAGTAGAATTATTATAGTAAAAATTATTTTGAATTCTAGTTCTAGGGCCAATTCCATATATTTTTGGAGAAGATTTTACGGATAGTAAAATGGCTCTTTATTCGGATGCAATTTTTATTTGTGACGTCGATAAATCTCAACGTTATTTGAACCACTATTGTAATACTACAGTTTGGTATTATCGTAATTCTTTTGATTATGACAGAAGCTTGCATAAACTTGATGGAATGAATCGAAGACCAGGATGTGGGCATGCTGATGATATTGCTCATATTTTTTGGATGGATGGTATGCAACAATCATTGGATCCTAATAGTGATATTGCAAAGCATAGGAAAAATATGGTCACCATGTGGACTAATTTTGCTAAATATTTGTACGAAAGTTTTATTGTAAATTGGATTCATTTGTCTTATAGAGATGATCATTTATTTTTTGGTCTTTCAGAAGACCCACTATACCAGAAAATAAAGCACTTGATGTTGGAGTAGATTGGCCACCAACAGATGAGAATGGTACTCATCTTGAAATAGACAAAGTTTTAAGAGTCAGTCATACACGACCAATTAGTAAAGCAGTTGAATCGATGATTGGACGAGAAGAGCATTTTGATTAATTATTTTGATAAATCTTATTGATACGATAATTTTAATTAACAATAAATTATTAAAGCCTGTATGTATAATTATAAAATGAATTATATTCCATTTTTCAGACTTTGAAGTCATAAACAATTTTTATATCATCGTTACCTAGTTTCTTTTGTCTGCCATTCACATTGTTCTTCAATTTTATTTAACAAATGTAAATTACTGATACTGAAAACAATGTATTATGATCATAATTATTCATCTAATGAACAATAAAATTTTATTTTGACCTAATAAACTTTACTTTAGATTTAGTAATTATTTGACAATCAATAAATACACGAAATAATATTGATGTTAATATTGATTAGAGATATCAGTTTTGTTGACAACTTAACAATACCTATTGGGCTCAAAAACATACTTATTAGCATATTTTTTATGAAATATTATTGATAATTAATGGAATGTTTATGTCTTATTATGCATACTGGTCTTAAATAAACAATTGAGAAATTTGTTTTTAATACTAGACATTAAAAATTAAAGAAAATATCTATGCACTATTTTTTCACGTGAACATTTATCACAACCTTGATGAACATAATTTATACAATTGTATAAACAAAAAATTTATTTTTTACGTAGGTTTATTGATATCATAAACATATCAATCAATAACATAGAAATGATTAGAAGTTTTGCTGCCTATTTAAAGGTTGATTAAGAGGATTTTAAATTGACTACTGTTTCTGCTCTGGCAGTCTTCACTTCAGGAAAAATGATTCCAAACAATTTTATCGTCAAATTTATTCCTTTATTATTCGTGGCTAAGTGCTACGCTGTTATTACATCCACTGAACTTGTTGAGACCGATAAAGGATTGGTTCAGGGTGAAATACTGAAAACTGTTCCGGGGAGGATCAAGTATTCATCTTTTAAAGGAATTCCTTATGCAGAGCCACCACTTGGAGCTAATAGATTCAAGGTAAGAATTTATTATCCTACTTTAATACAATTTAATAATTGATGAGAAAGCTAACAGTTTTGTTATTTATTTTATTCTATTTTTCAATTAGACTTTAAGCTAATTTATTTAGATGTTTTATAGGATTATCCCTTGCAGAGTATATTGTTTATTATAATTGCTCTTATTCAAAATATTTATTAGTGCGGAATAATTGACACTATAGTATAATATCATATTAATATTCATCATGAAATTATAATAAATTATTCAATACTGCACGTTTACCGTCTGGTATTTTCTTAATGCTTTTTAATTGTGATTGCAATAGAAAATTTCAATTTTTCCATGAATATAATAATACTAAAAATAATTTGAATCATTTCATTAGTATGCAGCAGAAGCAAAGCCTTGGAAAGGTGTCCTGAATGCCACCAAAGATCCTAGCCCTTGTTCACAATGGTATCCTGAAGGCAATACTTACTTTGGTAATGAAGATTGCCTGTATTTAAATGTTTTTACTCCAGTGGTATGTAATATTTTTTTCTACCGCATTTTGCATTAGATTGGAATAATTTCTGTCATTAACTCTTATAATTTATTAGACTAATTTCACAAAACCTCAACTAAGAGCAGTAATGGTATGGATTCATGGAGGAAACTTTATGTTTGGATCCATGAATACTTATACTCCAGATCTTTTCCTTGAAAAAGATGTCATTATTGTTGCAATGAATTTCCGGCTAGGAGCTTTTGGATTCTTGTCACTAAATCATTCTTTAGCTAATGGCAATGCTGGTCTGAAAGATCAACTTCAAGCTTTACGATGGGTGAAGAAAAATATTAGAAACTTTGGTGGAGATCCAGAGAGGGTAACAATTTTCGGAGAAGATACTGGAGCTGTTTCTGTCGAGTTACACAATTTATGTGATGAATCTGTTGGTAAGAAATGCTTCTTTACACTTTTTTGAAAATAAAAGTGGGATATAGTTTTTATCTTAAATTGTATTTTTAGTTAATTAATTTAATTTATCATTATAAAACTAGGACTCTATAGAGAATCGATAGCAGTAGATGGAGTTTTACTTAACCCTAGAGTATTTTATTCTCGATCTAAAGCACAAGAACGCACCAAAATACTAGTAAGAAAATTGGGACTTCAAAAGTTTACTGGCCCAAAACTTTATTCGATTTTAGAACGAGTAAAGGCTGATCTTATTGCTAGAATTTCATTCCGTATGATGCTGGAATTGGTACGTTCACTATCCAATATATTCATCAATATTAAATCGAACAATTTTATTATTAAATACATATTATTTTGAGCAGAGAGATATACCATTTAAGCCAACAGTTGAGTCTAAGGCAATTTCAGAACATCCTTTCTTAACTACATGTCCTGCAGACAAATTTAAAGCTGGAAATTATAGTCAAACACCTCATATACTTGGTCAAAAGGAAAAGAGTTTAAATTTCAGAGATCGAAGTAAGTTGATATTTTTTATCGCTAAAATTCTTTAACATTATGATGAAAAAATATTCAAAAGAATATTCATTTGTATTAAATTTCTAAAATGGTTTAATTGATGATGCTTAAGTTTGCCAGTGCTTGAGCCAACACTTAGCTCACTTTACTTACTTTACAGTAACATATTTTTTCATCATTACATATGTTTTATTCAATATTTGATCTCAGCAATATTTTTTTGTTTTTATTTTTGATAGTTTACTTGCATTTTTTATTATTTTATTATTTTAACCAACAGCAAGACATGCACGAGGAGTTGGAAGATACTCAGTAAACATAAACCACTATAAAAACTCATTCTTCTATCGCGATTCATTCGATTATAAATTGGCATTAGCAAAAGAAAAAATAGAACCGACCATTAATGATGATTGGCATCGAGAGGATGATTATGATGAAGATGGAAATCGACTACCACACAGTGAACCTTTCCTTCGTCATAGAAAACAAACAGTCACCATGTGGACTAATTTTGCTAAATATTTGTAAGTTATCTCATTAAATAGATCATTTTGTTCAGATATATTATAAAGAAAAACTTTAATTCATTTTTGTAGGAGACCCAACTTGGACGGTGAAGACCCACCTGGTGTCGTTATAGAAGAATACGAAGATAGTCGTAGTAATGGTCCCACAATATATACAAGTGAAGCGGAATTAGCTAAACTTAATTGTAGAATGTACAAAGTTGCAATGCTTTGCAAAGATTAAAATGATTTACAAGAAATCGAAAACAAATGAAATTGTACTGATTAAAAAATATGAATAATTACTGTGTACAACATATTTTAGGAATTTATGTATTTTAATCCAACAAATACATAATAAATAAGTCAATTAATAAAATCATGTCTTTTTAGTGATTAATTACCCTAGAAAACCAATTGAAAATATATAAAATATATCGCATACTCATTCCTTCATGAAATCTCAAGATAAATAAATCATCTTCATCTGCATTTTTCAGCTTACTTTATTGAGATGTTATACTCACTTGCATACAGAAATACTTTGATTTATGATAATCATTTACAACTCTTTTGAACAGTCATTTTATCACTAGCAATAAACTAGATAGAATGTTTACCATTACTACAGCAATAAAATCAACAAAGTATGTCTATGTTTATTTAGAAAACCACAAGGCTAAAAGTCTGCATCTAGGTGATATATTAAGAAATCATTTCATCGTGATTAAGTTTATTTTGTCACTGATACTGACAATCTTTGAGGTTTTCGACCAAACAATTGAATTAACTGGAGTCATATAAGCGAATAAAGGATCTATTCAAAGCTAAGTGTTGACTATTGTTGAAAAAGGAGTCAAATACTCAGCTTTCAAAGCAATCCCTTACGCAAAACCACCTGTTGATTATTGTAAATTCCAGGTAAGAGGTTAAGAGATTAATAAATATTTAAATTTATTAGAGATTATTTTAATTTCTGTTGAATAATTAATATTGTATATGCTTTTATCGGAGTAATTGTGTATGTAAGTGAAAAAAAAAAATAAATGAAACTTCTTGAGGGGAGTTTAATTGGGCTACTTAGCGTGAGCAATGACTATGTGACATCTAAGTCGCAGGTCTTTTTTTAATGTCATTTACTTTGGTTTTATTTTCAGGTTTTTAATTCAACATTTGAACTTTAATTAATTATTGGATTATCCACTTCTATGATTCTTAATGAAATTTGTGGTAATTTTGTATGTCAAAATAAATTAATTGTTCATGAAAAGTTAATTAAGATAATTAAAATATTTTAATAAAAATATAAAAGATATAATAAATTTACTTGGTAATTATGATCATAATTGTAGTTAGCAGTAAAAAAAAAATTATTTCACCTTACATATAACTATTGTCACGCTATTGTAAAGCCTTCCAATGAAGAGGAAAACATTGGTTAGCAATTAATTTTTCAATTACAGAAAGAACACTTATGAACATTACTTATTGAGTAATTTTTGTTTTACATAAGACGATAATACTAGGCAATTTTTGTTATTAGTGTTTAATGATATAACAGTCATTTTTTTTATCGCCTTATCGGAATTTGACAAATAAGAAACGTGAAAATTACTGTCAACTTCAGGTTTTTTAATGCTTAAAGTTGTAATTTCCTTATACTTATTTGCAAAATTGTGAAGTTATTAAAAATAACTAAAACCTATCGTTAGTGTTAGCTAACTGTTTAACCTATTAGTGTTTTTTTTCAGTTTTCTATAATTTTAACTCATTCAACATCACTTCAATTCTAGTCTAGTCCGGTCATCAACGTCATGATAAAAGTCCGCTTGATACTACTGACAATAGGTGTAATTAAATTGACCAGTTTGAATGAAATTTTTGCTGAATATCAACTATCAGAAGTTTTTCAAACTGACAAAGGTCCCATTCAAGGGGTAATACTGAAAACGATTGTGAGACATAAAAAATTTTCAGCTTTCAAAGGAATTCCATATGCCAAACCTCCAATAGGTCGTCGTCGATTCCGAGTAAATAACTTTTATTTGAATTAAACTTGTATTCATACAATGATAATCAAATTAATGCATAAAACTTGATGAAAAAATTGTTTAGCCACCAGAAGAAATCGATCCATGGGATGATATATTAATTGCCACCAACACATCGAGTGTTTGTCCTCAATATGATTATGATAATAAAACTTCTACTGGTGATGAAGATTGTCTTTATTTAAATGTCTATACACCTAAGGTTAATTCATGCTTATCGATAATTCTATTTTTCTTTCAAGAACTATAAAAATTATAATCAATATTTTTAGCTAAAAGCAGATGATACTGAATTGAGACCTGTGATGGTCTGGATTTATGGAGGAGCTTTTATACAAGGATATATTAATGCTTCACGATATGGACCAGATTTTATTCTTGAACAAAATGTTGTTGTCGTTGCCATGAGTTATCGATTGGGAGCTTTGGGATTTTTAGCTCTCGAAACTAAAAATGCTACTGGTAATGCTGGTCTTAAAGATCAGAATTTTGCTCTTCGATGGGTCAACAAAAATATAAAAAATTTTGGCGGTGACCCTAATTTAGTAACTATTTTTGGACAAAGTGCTGGCTCAGTTGCCGTACAGCTTCATAAACTTTCTCCAATGTCAAGAGGTAGCGTTAAAAAATAATTAATTTAAAATGAAAATAAAATTTCAACTTTTTAGCATAGAATACTTTTGAATACTAATAAGAACATTTTCTTCTTTATATTTATACAACATAACAACTGTTTTACGCTTTATACTAATTATGATAAAACTAATCGATAAGAGTAAATTTATTAGTCAAGTAATCACTTAACTTTCAGGTCTATTTAGCCGATCGATAGCAATGAGCGGCTCGCCTTTGAATGTTTGGGGTGTATCTGTTCATGAACAAGCAGTATTACGAGGACGTTACTTGGCTAGAAAACTAGGAATTGTGGAAGACACTGATGAAAAAATTTTAGAAAAACTATACGATGTTCCTGTTGAACAAATCATCGTGGTAACATCGACTGAACTTGAAATTGTAAGTGTATATAAATGCTTCAAATAATCACTCTAATAATGACTCAAATAAATTTATTTTAACACAAGCTTGATCTACCTTTTAAACCAAGTATTGAAGATCCTAAATACAGTTCAGAACCTTTTATCTCGGAGTGTATCGTCAAAATGTATGAAGCTGGAAATTTCAGTGATGAACCTCATATTCTTGGCTTCGTTAGTTCAGAGACTGTTTCATTTGCTGATAGTATGAAAACTATTTTCTCATCTTTTAATTTATTTCTTTTTTTTTAACTAATTTTCAAGATAATTCTTCCAGATATTCTAAAAATATGTTTATGTTCCTTTCTCTAGGTGTAGCATCATTCCTCAGAGTCCTTAATTCTGCTCTAGATACTGTTGTTAATATAACTGGTATAGAAACGATAGCAAATATAATTCAGTTACGTCATCTTGTAAATTCTACGCTGAATACCTTTAGTGAAATTGGTTATGATACGGTTTACACAGGAATTGATGTAACAACCGATTTACTTTTTATCGCTGGTATAGATAGAACTCAACAGTATTTAGCTAAAGGCAAAGGTCCTGTGTATTATTATCGTAATTCGTTTGATTATCCTCAAGCTCTTCATAGAGTGAGAGGTAATCAATTAAATGGAACTGCTCACTCAGATGATATAGCTCACGTTTTCTGGGTATCTGATAGAAATCAAACGACTGATCCTAACGTTGGTATTACGCATCAAAGAAGTAAGATGGTTAGAATGTGGACTAATTTAGCGAGATATGGGTAAAATAATTTTTTTTCTATAGTTTTATTCGGATAATTAATAAATTATTTGTTAATGAATATTATTTTTTAATTAGAAATCCTACACCGAATGGAACAGATGATCCTTTATTGAATATCACTTGGCCTAACTCTGGTGAAGATGGAACACATCTTGAAATCAATACTGAATATTCTATTGGACCAAGACCTATCAGTTCTTTTATTCAGATAATACGTACTCTGGTTTCACCTTTACGGTTATTGATAGAACCCTGCCCTTTCCTATTATAATTAATCTAATGTTTATTTCAATAAATTAGTGATATCACAGCAATTTTTTGATACATTTGATGTATTTTTAAACTGATATATTCAATAAAATAATCAATTCTATCGGTTGAGCCACGATAAAATTTATTGCTTTATGTAATTTAAATTTTATGCTAAAAATAAATTTTTTATCAATTTACATAAGAGTTTATTGAATTTTTGAAAAAATATTCATTGATAGAATTCAAAGATTCTTCATAAATTTCAAGATATCATACCTCAAGATAGGTTTATATTCCTGAAGTTATAAAGAATATTTTACGATATCTGAAATATTTTCATCTTTTCGCAAACATATGTTCAAACACGAAGTTGAAGTTTATTCTTATTTTTAAAATATTTCCTTTGTACTGTCGAAAGTATTTAAAAAATGAAACTCTATGAGTTGATCTTGTTGAATATTTTAAGTATGTTTTCTATTGGTGTAAATGCTAGACTAACGGAAATAGTTAGTACAGACAAAGGCCCTGTACAAGGAGAAATAAGACAAACATTCCGAAATTCCATGTTATTTTCTTCATTTCGTGGAATCCGTTATGGAAAACCACCAGTTGGCTATTTAAGATTTAAGGTAAAAATATTCTTGCTCCAAATTCTTTAGAACAGTCATGAATAGTCAGAAATTAACATTTTTACTTTGAAAAATGTATAGCCACCAGAAGAAGCAGAACGTTGGAGAGAAATATTCGTAGCAACATCTGAAGCAACTCCTTGCCCTCATCTAGATATTGTAAACCATTCTTATGTTGGAGAAGAAGATTGTTTAAATCTTAATGTTTATACTCCTAGAACAAATTTCGCTTATGACGACGATGAATTATTTCCGGTAATGGTATGGTTACATGGCGGTGGATTTAAAAGCGGTGCAGCAAACATGTCTGTTTTTGGCCCAGATTTTTTAGTTGAAAATAAAGTTGTAGTAGTAGTCATTAATTATCGCATAGGAGCACTTGGATTCTTAGCTTTAAATCACACTAATGCCACTGGAAATGCTGGATTAAAAGATCAGCTTCTAGCTTTGAAATGGGTGAATAAGAATATTGATAAGTTTGGTGGAGATCCTAATCTGGTGACACTTTTTGGTCATAGTGCTGGAGCTGTTTCAATTGATTACCATGTTTTGTCAGAAGTTTCGAAAGGTACAAACAGTTTTATAATGAAAGAAAAATGAGTTAAATTATTTATTCAGTTGAATGATTGTTATGCAAGTCATCGACATCAGTGGACTACTTTTATCCAATTGCCTAATACTTTTCAGATTTTTTTCATCAATCTATCAGCATGAGTGGATCGCATTTATGTAAATGGGGGTTTTTCACTCTTTCTGAAGCAGAATCACAAGCTTTCAAGCTTGGTGAACAGCTGGGAATAATCACTGATAAAAATAAAGAAAAGCTTTTAACAGCTTTATATGAAAAATCACCTCATGATTTAGTTGAAGCAACAAGAAAAATCGATTTTGTAAGTGGATTTTTTGTTACTGTAAATAAAATTCATTCTTTATGATATGAAAAATAATTAATCATGTTTTTTTGTAGATCGATTTACCATTCAAGCCTACAATGGAAGACCCAATAGTTGCAGGTGATACTGCATTTATTTCCCAGTGTCCTATTGATGTTTATAAATCAGATGGATTTCGTGGTTTACCCCACATGTTGGGGTTTGCTAAAGATGAAGCAGTTTCAATAGCTCCAGGTTCAAAGGATTGTTTATTTTTATTGATTATGTAGTGGCTTAGTATTCTTTTTGTTGTTTTTGTAAGTTGTTCAATTTATTTCAGGAAATAAATGGCTATCAGTAAAAAAACTTTTGAATAACGCAATAAAAGAAAGAAATATTAATCGAGATAGTAATTTTTGGAAAAGAATATACTCGAAAATGATTATTAACATTTCAGAATTCTTTATCGAAGTAAATCTACCATTTTATATAAATCTTATTCGACTGAAAAATCTAATAATAATAAGCCTTAAAATTACATTTTTCATTCTTTAATATCTAGAATATTTCACGAGCAGCATTTGTTATTGGAATTGATCTCAAGCGTAAACTCTTAAAAAAATACAGTAATGCTCCTGTATATTATTACCGAATATCTTTCTCATCAAATGTGTCAATTCATAAAAAACTTCATCATGTTCATATGGATGGTAAGTTAAACAATCAATTTATAAATACTTACATTTATAAAAAAATATTTTCAAGGTGCTGCTCATGAAGATGAACTGGCTTACATTTGGTACGTTTCATATTTGGATTATCCTAAAAGCCCAGAGGATCCTTTTACAATTGTTCAAGAACGTGTGACTTTAATGTGGACCAATTTCGCTAAATTCGGTCATCCGACTCCTTTCGGCTATGCTGATTCTCAACTCAACATAACTTGGCCAATTTCTGGAATTCACAACAAATTTTTAGATATAGATAACAAACTTAGCATTAAACGTGATCCTACTGATGTATCTACTGACATCATTTCTGGATTATTTGAGTTATTTGTTCGTTCAAATAAATGTCCAATTATTTCATAATCAAAAATACGATTATTACTTATTTTTAAATTACAAAATTATTATATTTAACCAATATGTCATACCTTGTAATTGACAACTGATATAATAAAGAAGTTCAATTAACAATGATTACTCCATTTTTAACAATATAATGATGTTTTTAAATTGATACAACAATAATTTAGTATTCATATCATTTTTTTAAATACATATTTCTAAACTCATCTTTGTTTATTTTCATTCATTGTGCCAATATTATAAGTATGTAAGCCACTTTTATTAACTTGTCATAACCTTGATTAATGCGTTGATTGGATAAGTAAATAAATTTTAATTTTTATTTATCTAACGTCTATGTCACTTTGGATGTACGATGTGTGTAAAGTCAAATTTGCTTAGGGCAATGATCTTTACAATATATATCAAGATAATGAAAGTAATCAACTAGGCCCTTTATCTAAAGAATTACTGTATAGTCATTAACGTCAATTGACATTCTTTTCAGAGCATTATATCAGTTCTCACAACAATATAATTTTAATTCTTATTTTTATCTATTTTGTTTTATCAATTGACGTATACTCTTATGATTTTACTGTATTTGAAAAAACTCAGTTGTAGTTAAAACGTCAGAATTTACGTAGAACATTTTCTTTTCAATCCGGTTCATATATAAAGTATCGCCGTGAAGAATGTGACTGTATCGTATGTTCCTGCTGAGAACTTTATTTGTTTTCTGTGCATTGATTAGTTTATCTTTTTTATTACATCAAGTTATTGTTGAAGAATTAAAAAAGATGAATTTTGCACATTTCAAATTTCTCGTTTTATTCAATGCTCTTAAAAATAATCTTCAATCTAATTTAACTGAAGTAGTATATACAGATAAAGGACCGGTTCAAGGAGAATTTCGCACCACTGTACAAAATAAAATAAAATATTCAGCATTTCGAGGTATTCGTTATGGAAAACCACCTGTCGGATATGCCAGATTTAAGGTAATCAGAAAATTTTATTTGTAAAATCTTTAGGTTAGGAATTTTAGCGGGGGAAAAAATTATAATCAGCTGATGAAATATTTTTATTTTTTTAAAAAAATTTGTATAAATTGATAGAATATTTTTTTTCATAGCCACCAGAAGAAGCAGATCCGTGGAGAAAAGTATTTAATGCAACATCAGAAGCTACACCCTGTCCTCAAAGAGACATAATAAATAAAGTGTATGTTGGCGATGAAGACTGTTTGAATCTCAATGTGTATACCCCTAAGACAAATTTTAAGAAGACAAATGACAAGTTATTACCTGTTATGGTATGGTTACATGGCGGTGGATTTTACAGTGGTTGGACTAATATATCTTTTTTTGGACCGGATTTTTTGATAGAAGAAAAAGTTGTTGTAGTAGCAGTTAATTATCGTCTTGGAGCATTGGGATTTTTAGCTTTAAATCACACTAATGCGACTGGGAATGCTGGGTTGAAGGATCAGTTGTTAGCTTTAAAATGGGTAAATAAAAATATTAAAAAGTTTGGAGGAGATCCCAATCTCGTGACACTTTTTGGTCATAGTGCTGGTGGTGTTTCGGTTGATTATCACATACTTTCGAAGGCTTCAAAAGGTAAAAAATGAAAAATTCTATTTAAAAACTGATTTTATTACTAACTTTAAATAACCAAGTTTTAATGTTATTTCTAGGGTTATTTCATCGATCTATTAGCATGAGTGGATCTCATTATTGCCAATGGGCATATTCCCGTCCCAAGGAAGCAGAAAGTCAAGCTTTTAATCTTGCTTTCTTTCTTCATTTGAATATAACTGATAGAAATAAAGATGAACTTTTAACAAGCTTATATAAAATACCACCCCAAGATATAGTTGAAGCAACAAGAAACCTCCACAATGTAAGTGGTCTTTTACTGTAGATCGATCGATAAATATAAAAAAAAAATTCTACAACAATATAAATTTTACAGATTGATTTACCATTTAAACCGACGTTAGAAGATCCTTTAGTTGCTGGTGATAGTGCATTTTACTCTCAATGTTCTGATGATATTTATAAATCTGGTAATTTTAGTCATGTACCTCATATGACTGGTTTTATGAAAGACGAAGCATTGACAATAGGGCCAGGTATTATTAAAAAAGAATTACATTTTTAATGTAATGGGTTTAATTTTGTATTAATCATCAAAGGAATAACGTTTTGTTTTTATTAAAGGAGACAGTATGTTGATGATAAAAAAAACGTTAAATGAAGGAGATAGGGTCATTAAAAATTCGAGTAATTTTCTCTCCTTTCCATGGAAAAATTTTTATGCGTATATGGTAACGCAAGGAGCTTCACTTCTTTTAACTGTAAGTAGATAATTTCAATTCTCTAATATAAAAATTATGAAGTTACACTTATGCAACTCGTATTATTAAATTTAGAGTGTATCCGAAGCAGCATTTATTAAAGATATCGATGCAAAACAACAAATAATGACCCAATACAGTACTGCGCCTGTTTATTTTTACGGAATTTCATTTACGTCAACCATATCTATACATGAACGAATTCATCATATTAATATGAAAGGTAAATATTGATTTTATCTAACTGATTAGTATATTTGAAAATCTTTATTCATTTTAATAAACTACAATAAAAAATTTTTTCCAAGGTGCTGCTCATGAGGATGAATTAGCTTATTTTTGGTATGTGTCTCTTCTGGAGTATCCTGAAGATCCTAAAAATCCTTTCATAATTATGAAAAATCGTATTACTCGAATGTGGACAAATTTCGCAAAATATGGAAATCCTACTCCTGACGGAGAATCCGATCCTCTTCTTGGTATAAAATGGACGGAAGCCAAAGTTGACGGTAAATTTTTGGACATTAATGAAGATTTAACTATGAAAAAAAATTCTATTAGTGCAGCCTCACAATTGTTTTCATATGCCATTCATGGCTTTGGAACAAATTATCAATGCTCTAATAGTCAAAATAGTTCCTAAAGTGTATAAAAAAAGGTATTAATAATAAGAAAGTGAATAATTTATTAATTTCTTTTCACATAGAAAGAATACATTTATTTCATCGGAGAAATAAAGAAATTCTTTTGAAAGTTTCATCAAATAAATAAATTCCATAAGTGAGGACAAATAAATCAAGTAAAATCTAGTTATATAGTCTTATCATTATTTAATATTCATGAAGCTCGAATATCATTTGTTATAGTTGATAACGGATGATAATATTTTTGTCATTTTATATTTCAATTAATTAGAAATAGTTAAGTACAATAATCATGGTGGCATGATTTCTCACGTTTTATTGATTTCATAATATCAGATAAGAGTTTATTCTCTTGATATGTATTAAAATAATTATTTTATTAAGACTAGCAGCGGTCTTATGTCAGAATATCAAGGTGAGCTTGAAAAGATAAAAATTAAATACTCGTTATCTTTAACGAAAATTATATATAAATACATAAAAAGATCATCATTAAAAATTCTAAATGAAAGTTATTGCCTTTGATATAAAATAGTTATATAATAACTGGATTAACTTTAATATTTAATTATTAAACTTAATTTAGAGTTTCTCGTCTAGAATTTTCCATTAAATTTTGTCTATGACTTTAATCAATTTTATCAGAACGAAAATATTTACTATTAACCGCAAAACAATTATTACATGGCAAAGACACTTTTTTTATGATTATTTTTTTTTAGATTAAATATATTTATAAATTGTCCTAGAATGCAATTAAACATTCAATTATACGGATTTAAAATATTTTTATATGATAATTAAACATTAAAATACACATATAAATAACATTTCATGTAAATTCGAAAGATAATGTAAGTGTTAAATTTTAATTAAGTTATTAATGTTTTTTTTTTGCAAAGGTTAAAATCATCATTTATAAATAAAGCATCATCCATCTTAATTGTATTATAAATAGTAAATTAATTAAATAAATACTAATTATGTACTGGTATGATTATCTAAGATAGAAGTAAAGTAAAGATATACTTATTTACAAAAAAGTTCAGTTATAAATGTAAAAAAATTTATTGAAACTCTTTTTCTTTGGCTTTGACCGGAATTAAATCCGGGAATTAACAGAATCACTTATAACACAATTATCACATTTATCAACAATGATAATTAAAATTAGATAGTTGAAGAAAGAAAAAGTTTATTGTGATAAATTTTTGTTTATTTAGCCGTTTATTAATTAAGTCAATTTGTTCAACTGATATATTTTGATTCTTATTTGTATTTATATGTGACCTCAAAAATATAGGTCTTGAGAGTATAAGTGTAGATTCATGAGTGTGCCAAGGGTAATAGTTGATACATGTAAAATTAGAATTACTTGCATTGCATTGCATTTTAAAATTCATTAACACATAATCAATCGTTACCTCCAATTGCTATACACGAAATGAGCCACGTGCGAAGAATAATTAATCAACATTAAGCTTCATACAACGTCAGTAATAATGATAATGTTATACTAAATTATAACATTGTTTATAATCTTTTGTGATAATTTTAGATTTTATTTACTGAAAATATATGTATTGTATCGTCATGAATCAGTAAAATTTGAGATGAAATATCTGCCACTTCTTTATCACGTTCGGTATATATTATTCAGTTTTAATAATGTTTTCCAATCATAAAGCAGATAAACTGTTTTGTGAATGCTAATTATATCATTACTGTTAGTATAACCATACCAAACGGGAAAGGTGACTGAGCACTACCAGTAATAAATAGTCGTATCAAACTATCTGTATAAATGTACAACAGTTTTTTATTATCTGCAATAATTTGATAATCGTGTATAAAAAGTGAGAGAGATTTTTTATCATTAATATGTAATAAAGGATATATTCACTTCAATCGTCAATTACTGTCAGTTTTACTGGTTTCTATCTAAAGACCTCTGTTGAAGAAGTTTTTATTATTACATTATTTATAACTAGTTTAAATAATTGATTGAAGCCAGTTTTATTCTTGTTATCAAAGTTGATTTGTTCGCATTTTTTCAATAAAAACTTGCTCTTTTATATCATCGTTTGAATTTTCATTAGTTGGAGTGAATATATTTGATATAATTATCATTAATAATGTGGTGAATGTTTGAGCAGTTGGGAAAAGTGTTATCTATGTTTTCGTGATGTTTTGCAATTTAACATTGCGCAGTAGCCATTCACCAGATTATATACTATTGTCGATTTAATAGAAAGAAAAGTATAATATTATATCCAAGCCCTGAGATGTTATTAGCCATATACTTTCAACTGTATTTATTTGCTATGATACTGAATGAGATTAAATACGAATCTAAACTAAAAGTAAAAAAGTATCATCACTCGGTAGATGAAGAAAAAAATTGTGAGTGAGTTAATCATATTAAAAATACGTCAGTTTCCATGTGAAGCTGAAAAAATAATCTTATCAAGATTATTCTGTTTATCTTTAGAAAAAAGTAATTATTTAAGTATGTATACATTTATTTATTTTTTCATCAATTATATTTTATTGACTTACAATTTTTTGTATCTATTGTTATAGATTCTTGTTGAATGAAATAATTTACTGAAATGAGAATAAAATATTTCCATTAGAATATACAACAAAAAACTATGAAGGTCTTTTAAGAAATTAGAACAAAAAAAGCAAATATGGTAAAACACTCTCCAAACAATTTCGCAACAACTTGTGATAATTCAAGATCAGAGAAATCGTTTTGACATTCAAGTCTCGTATAAAATTTCTTTACATACCACCGTTTTCTGACATTCATTCCTAAGGGAACCAAAACGTCCAAAGTCATTTTATTTATTATATTTACAAGTTGAACAGAGACACAAATTTATTCATTCCTAAGTAAGAACCAGAATTTTTAAAATTTTTTGTAACAATAATAATAACAACAATTGAACATTAACATAATTACACGCAATAAAAATTTTATTTGAAATAAATTCTGAACGTGTTAAGAATAAAGAATTAACTTTTTCATGTTCGATTGATTGAGAAGTCACGACTGTAGAAATGTAAGAAATATCTTAAAACAGGCCAGAGTAAATAAAACTTATCTTACACTAAGAAAATAAACTTCTTTTTTCAATAAGACGTGTGAACACTTGTTTTCGCGTATCGAATGATTAATAACGAAGTGATATCATGAATGATCGGTAAAAGCATAAAATAAGTAGAATCTTCAACGTTTGCGCGTGTTAAGACAATCTTGGATTAATTAGATATCAACGGCGGTTGAGTCTCGTGACACAAGCGAATAAAAGCATTGTATGTCTTTATATCTGGGACTTGTGTAATCACAACACATCCCGGAGGCATCATCATTTAATGACCAGTGGGCGCGTTTCAGTCTATTATAATTTTTATCTTCTCTTAATTTAAGACTTAATTTGTAGTGTCATTAAAAAAATTTTTCTCAACAAAATGGAAACAAGTCGTTTAATTGAAAGAAAATCTCATGATTATGGTATTTCTTGACCAAAATTATTTAAATAATTATAGTATTTATTGTTATGGTGTTGAAAATGTTTAAATTATTATGTTTGTTTAGTGATATTTTTATTAATAAATGGATTTTGTTTATAAACATGTTCAATAATTTACTATTCTTATTATTATTTGAGATCAATGTGATGAAATGTCGAATAATCCAGAGCTCATAGTTCGCCGCCCAGTTTATCAACAAGAGGATCTTGATAGATTTTTCGAATACTCCAAACCATCTTCAACATGTGAGTTAAAAAAGTTAGCTTGAGTGTAGTTAATGATCGAATAAAATTTTAGTAGAATTGATTGATTTTTAGTAAGAAATAGTTTAAAGAAAAAATATAAAAATTTTAAATTAAAATCATGCCTGAAAAAAACTATCCCTATGTTGGACTGGTTTCCAAATTATCCATGGAGAGAAAATATTCTCGGAGATATAGCAGCAGGATTTACTGTAGCAGTAATGCATATTCCTCAAGGTAATAAAAGAAAAACAAACACTGCGTGAGCATAATAGAATAATATAATTTTTATTTGCAAAAAACAAATTTCAACCTCCAGGAATGGCTTATGCAATGCTCGGAAATGTTCCACCAGTAGTTGGCATGTACATGGCATTCTTCCCTGTCCTTATTTACATGATTTTCGGAACTTCTAGACATAATTCTATGGGTAAATTTATTTTATTTATTATTAAAATATCAAAATAATGTTTTACCTTTTTTGATCAATCAAAATTCGAAAAAAAAAATAAATCTTTCGTTTGTTGATTTACTTAATAAACAAATTATTGTTTTACTCTTCATCTAGGAACATTTGCTGTAATTTGCATGATGACTGGCAAAGTAGTTTTAACTCACAGTACTATTGCTAATAGTCAAAATTCAACTTCAGTAGAATCACCATCAATAGAATATTTGCAGACATCTAATCAATTTTCTCCCCTAGAAGTGGCAACTGCAGTAACGTTTGGCGTAGGCATATTACAGGTATCGATATGATTATTTACTCAGACAAATTGAAAAAAAAGATCAAAATGACAAGTTATTGGTGTCCCAGTTGGCAATGTATGTGCTGCGTCTAGGGCTGATATCATCCCTCTTGTCAGAAACTTTGGTCAGCGGTTTTACCACAGGAGCTGCTGTTCACGTATTCACATCGCAAATCAAAGATCTCTTGGGATTACAACTCCGTAAACGTCGTGGTATTCTCAAAGTCGTTTTCGTGAGTATCCATTAAATATACATTCATTTACATTTTACTTGATTGTTTTTTTTTTACTTTTGGGTTCGAAATATAGTGAAATCTCTCTTCAAAATCCCTGATCCTTTTCCAAGAGGAGAAGTAGTTCTCCCACTTACGCTTCACTTTTTTTTTCTTTGTCTTTAGAAACGAAATATCGCTTTCTCTTATTTCTACAGCCCCATAGGGTAAAGCAGACCAATAGATATCTCCTGGATATCCTCCAGAAGATGAAAAAGTTGTTGGAGTTTGAAAAAAAAAATGTGATTTAAATCGAAAATTGTTTGAGCTGAAAAAATAGTTTAATTAAAAAAATTAAAAATCTACGTCATTTGTTAGAGCTTAATTGTCAATTGGTCTGTTAACTAAAGTCATAAAATTGAGCAAGTTTTTTTTGTATTATTATTGTTTACCAAGAATCAAAGTCTTCGTCATTTAGTTTCTAAAGTGATTAATTTTTCAACTTGAGATTTATAAATCTAGATAGACAAACAGAAAAAAAAGGTTAAACTTATAATTATTGTTACATAAAGACTTAAAGAAATAATATAGTGTAAAATTTTCTGCAATTTATTTCTTCACTACGATAATAGTTTTCCGGTATTCCGGTATTCAAGAACAATTACACGTGACAAGCGCAAGCAATTTATAAATCTCACAGGGGAATTTAACTTGCTGAGACTGGTTTGAGGAAAAGTTTTTAATGAAAGCAGTAAATATCATTAAATACTGACATAATATAATCTTATATTCATTAATCATCAAATAAATGATTCTGTTTTGAACATCAAAATTACAGTATAGAATATTCTTCATTGTTACTCTCATACTTGTAATAAATTTTGAAAAACTTATGTGTGGATTAAAGATTTAATTTGTAGACTTACTATGATGTCTTCAATTCAATCGATAATTTGAATACCACTGCCATGATAATATCTGGAATTACAATACTTGCAATAGTCTTCAATAACGAAGTTTTGAGGGTAAGATAATCTTTCAGATAAACTCACATCAATTGGAACTTGATATATATTAATGGCTTAATAATACGATAATTTATTTGCAGCCACGTGTGAGTAAATACTGTGCCTTCCCTATTCCAATCGAAATGATCGCAGTAGTTATAGGCACATTAGTTTCTGTTCAAATGAATCTCACTGAAGCCTATAATGTTGTCACTGTTGGAGAGATACCTGTCGGGTATACAGTCAAATAACTATGCTATAATGACTCTTAATTATATATCTCCATGATAAATCATTATGAGAATTATTTTTAGACTACCAATGCCTTCAATGCCACCAGTATCTCTTTTATCATCGATAATGGTTGATTGCTTTGTTATTACCATGGTATCATACAGTATTTCAATGTCAATGGGTTTAATTTTTGCTCAAAAATTTAACTATGAGATTGATGCTAATCAAGAATTAGTAGCACAAGGTCTAGGTAATTTATTTGGATCATTTTTCTCATGTATGCCATTTACAGCATCTTTGTCAAGATCTTTAGTGCAAACTGCAGTTGGTGGAAAAACTCAGTTAACTAGCTTAATATCTAGCTTTTTGCTACTCTTTGTCTTGCTCTGGATTGGACCCTACCTTGAACCATTACCAAGGGTAAGAAAAATATCTTTTAAACTACTTGAAGCATACATCATCTATTTTTTTACTTTCAGTGTGTCTTGGCAGCTATAATCGTCGTGGCACTTAAGGGAATGTTTCTTCAAGTTAAAGATCTAGTCAGGTTTTGCAAATTATCAACAACTGATGCCATGGTTTGGATTGTTACGTTTCTTATTGTCGTTATTCTAGACATTGAATATGGATTACTTGTTGGAGCTCTTCTATGCTTCATAAAACTCATTACTTTATCCATGAAACCATATACTTGCAAGTTAGGTGTTGTTCCAGGGACTGAGATTTATTTAGACACTAATAGATATAATAAGGTGAGTTTAATTTATGTTATTTCTTAATTTATTGTTGTCAGTAGACAATTTTAAGAATCATTTTAATTCAACAGGAATAACTTAAATTGATTTCATTGTTTAAACTATTTGTAGACTGTTGAAATACCTGGAATTCGAATGTTCCATTATTGTGGTGGTCTTAACTTTGCAACCAAACTTCATTTTAGACAAGAAGTATTTAAAGTTACCGGCGTGAAACCACAAGATGAATTGAACCGTCGTATTAAAGCCAACGATAAAGAAATAACAGAAGAAAAAGTTCAAAAAGTAAGAAAATTAATAACTTCTTTGTAATAAATGAAATTTAAAAAAAAAATACTCTGTTATAAGCTAATTTTAATGATTTTATAATTTATATGATTTTCATTTTCATATAGTTACGAGTATTAATACTCGACTTTTCTGCACTTAATCATATTGATCCAGCTGGTGTAGCAACTATTCGAAGTCTTATCAAAGATTATATGAAGATTGGAGTTTCAGTTTATCTTTCCGGTTGTTCAGGTACGAATCCATTTACTTATAGCAGCTATGTACATTATAAGAATAAATTACTAAGTTGAGTCGATCAAAAAAGGTATTATGTGATCAGAAATTGGTTCCGGTATCTGCTATCTTATTTCATCGTGAGGAAATAGTTATCTTGATTTTTTTAAATAAATAGATCTGTTCTATTTATATTCTCAACCATGTTTCTTATTTTTTCTATGATTGATTTTTTATGAATACTAATATACCTCTTTTTTTATTCAGGACCAGTATTTGAGACAATAAAAAAATGCAATACTGTTGAAAAAACAGAATCATTCATGATATTTCCAACTGTAAGTGATGCAGTGAATTATGCTCAACACGAGAATGTGATTTCCCCGGTGCCAATGTGGACGTGCGGGCCTATGTATGAGGAAGAAAATAGTATAAGCCGACTGTGATTTTATTAGCTCAAAGTCTTTTTAGAATTATTTCGTTTTTTTAAATTTACATTAGTAAAAAAATTTATCTGATGACATTTAATTTTTAATATTATATCTTGATGATGAATATTTATAGAAGTATTTATTCTGAACAATATAAATGTCAAAAGATGAAAATAAGTTTTAAAAAATATCGTCATCTATAAATGATAATTACAATATTTTTCTAAAAGGATGTAAAGTTGAAATTTAAAAATCATGTAACTTAAGGAAAGGTGAAAGGACTTTCAAAATTATAATAAAATTCAAAAACAAAAAAAGTGGATCACGAATTCTGTAATATACATTTATATACTTTTTGTTAAACTTTTCTTTTTATATTTATGCATCAATTATACATTCTTATCATAACATTGATAGCACGTGTCTGCAATTTATTCTCTTTCTTTATTTATTTAAAATTCATTACAAATGACATTATTCTCATTCAGCATTTTATCACTAAGCGATAGAAACTGTCATTCGAATAGTAAAGTGATCTATTGGTTCATTCAAACACGTTTCTAAGTTACTTCAATATTCTTTTTTGCAATAGAAAGATTCTTTCTTAGATAAATATTAATTATAATGATTGAATAATAGTTGTTGGAAAATTATACGTAATTGAAAAATGTCACACGTAACTCACGAATCAAAAAATTGCGCGAATCGATGATAATCACGTGGTGTCGGCTTGGTCTACGCATGCGTATTAGCTGATAAATTTTAGCATCTGTGAATTATTTACGTTGGAGTAAATTAATATAAAAAATCATGGCATCGTTAATTCAATATTTTAAATCAATTCCTACTCACATGGTAAGGAAATGTTGATTATTAATATTCTTTTAAACTTAAATCAAGATGTCATGTTGAAAAATTGTCATTAAAGTCTGAATAAATATAACAAAAAATATCCTTCTAGGTTAGTTTTTGACATTTCATTCAGTGCCACGTAAACAAACTCTATTTACCATATACTTTATTGCGACTAATGGTTATTTATTGATGATTTTAGGATTATGATGGTCAAGCAAGAGCAGAAAAATTATCTAGAATTATAGTAACTCTTTTTGGAGTAAGTATATCAAATTTTAATTTTACTCCAAAAAAATTATTAGCCTGACTATGATAGAATAAATTAAAGTTTGAAAATAATATGGAATAATAAAATGAAATATTTTTGTTAAGAGATAATAGTTGATTATTATTTACAGGCTGTAGGTTTAATTTGGGGCTACATCATACAAGAGTTTTCTCAATCATTATATATCCTTGGAGCTGGATTTTTAATGGCCATGATTATCACAGTTCCCCCATGGCCAATGTACAGGAGAAAACCATTAGATTGGCAAAAACCACAAAGTGAAGTTCCTACAAAAAATAAAAAGAAAAAAAATATAGTAAATGATAAGAGTACAACATTCTGACTGGTGTGTTATAAATTATATTATAACTTGATTCATCTTTTTTGAAAGATATAAATTATTTTACACATTCGAAATAAATTCAGTTATTAGATAAATAATTTTTTTTTCATAAATAAAGTAAAAATAATCGAATAAACATAGTATTTAATTACAGATTACCTGTGAGTATAGAGTGTCAATTACTCATGAAACTAATGCACATATGTTCAACATTGGATTCATTCCAACGACTTTCATCGATTACATTCTTTATTTTCTCTTGTCACAAACTAAAGTCGGGAATATTTTCTTTGAGACCGAATAAATGCGAAAAGAACGACTTTGAAATATGCTTAATACTTTCACAATGATACTTAAAACCGCAAAACATGTTAGAAAAAATTTAATAAATTCAATCATTTTAATAAATACTGGTTTAGGAAATTTTGCAACAATCATTACATAATTTTTTAAATACAAAATAGGTCCAAGAAGCCACATAATAGATACGCCTTTATGACCACGAAAGATGTTTTACATAAAAAAAAATACGCGAAGGAATTATGAAACACTTTCTCTGTGTATGATGAATGCTTCTGGTATTCCAATTGCACTGTTTCCTGCATCATCACTGCAGTTTATTGTTGGCAGAAAAAGACTATAAATAAATATAACAAATAAACTCGATGGGGGCGAAAAAATTATGTCTCTAAGTAAATATTAATGTCTCAAATATATATTTAATTAATTAATTTATGAATATGATTGTATTAATTAGTTTGAATACTTCAGTTAATTGGAACAGTTTGAGTGGTTTATAATTACTTGATAATTGGCTAATTTGTTCTGATATCATAATTTTGATATATAACTCTTTATTGTCCGATAAAAAAATTTATTGATCTTCAGAAGTTTTAATTACTCTTATCAAAAATATCCGGAGATGTCAACTGAAAACTTTTTAAAAGCTTTTGATCGATAAATAATGATGATTATTATATAATCATGCATACTGACTTTCTAAGGAAATGATAAAATTTTCTTTAAGGAGAGATATCACGAAAAAATTAATGATTTTTTGTTGTGTCATTAAATCAGTAACTAGTTTCCCAATTTCTTGATCAATATTAATAAATGGCCAGGAATTGTTACCCCATCGCTTTCGTTTTTTGCTGTCTATACATAAATAATGATATCAAAATTACTTAATAAGAGTGAAAATCATGATACTTACCTATATTTATAATTTTTTAAAAACATGAACAAGTCACGTACGATTTCTATCTCTTCTATTTTAAAGTTGTTACTTTGTTATAAACAAAGATAAAAAAAATAAAAATGTATAATTTATAATAATTATGTGTTAATAGCTCTAGAGACTTCTATCCTATTATTTAGCCACGTGCTCAATGCAGCCCAAGATACGAAGAAAAGGTGTGTGTTTTCATTACGATATAACGTAACGATGCGTGCACTATTTCCTGAGTTTTACGTAATTAAAAAGTGATCTGCAGGGGAATCAAGTAATATGGGTGACGTATATTTTAGCTCCTACCCTACTCAATAACATACTGAAAGTGGGCTTTTTCACATTCGGTCCACCTTTATAAACCCAATGCTCAGCAGTGGACAACCAGAACTGTATCTGCATTCGTTCAAAGAATTACTTCTGTTTTTTTCTATTCAACTATCATGTACTCTCACGCCTTTGTTGTGAGTTTTTTTTACTCTTATTGATATATCAAAAAGGAAAAATTTATTTTTTTCAAAATCGGATAAAGTGTCAGTGATTTGTTTCATTTTTTCTTATTTTGATAAGAAAATTATCATCAATTTACGATAGCCATTATTTTTTACTACTTAATCTTTCTGACAGTATAATTCGGTAGATTTTGCTGTGATTTAATTATATTTATTTATCATTTTATTACACGGTAGTAAAGTTAATACAATAATAAAATGTTTAGATGCTTTTAACTGTGTTGATATAAGTATATGTAATAAAGATTTTTATTTTGATTTTAAAAAGTGAAAGAAGTATAAAAAAAATTCAAAAGACGAAATTTCAACACAATTCCTTTTTTTTAAAAAAAAACAAAAATTTTTTCTTTTCACTGAATTCTCATCACGTAATTAAATAATGCATTTTTTGCAAACGTAACACCTAAATTAGGTCGAGCTAAAGCGAAACCTTTAAGTGTTGCACTGAATGCAGTATCATTTATGTTTAACGGTTTAAAATAATACTTTTACTTTCTCAGAGCGCATAATAGATAATTATAATTGAACTTGTACTGTTTCAGTTAGTGTTTTTTGGAGTACTCGCAATAGCGTGGGCATCTCCCGTCCCTGGTTATGATCATCAGTAAGTTTTTACATCAATTAAACTTTTTGTGGATAGACAATTAAAAAAATATTTTTTTCAGCAAACACGTCGTTATTCACGTACCATACAAAGTGCACACTGTTCATCATCATCACGTGAAGAAAGTTCCTTACCCTGTTCATCATGTAGAAAAAGTTCATGTCCCCGTACCAGTACATCACGTTGAGAAAGTTCATGTTCCCGTACCATATCCAGTGGTTGAAAAAGTCCATGTGCCCGTAATTGAAAAAGTCCATGTTCCCGTTCCAGTGCATGAAGAAAAGCACGGGTGGGAAGACAAAGGGGGATGGTGGTGATGAGGATTTGTATTATTAGAGAGTTACAGTTCTCTTCATGGATCAATTTCCAAATTAGTAAGTCACTTTCATTTAACTATAATTACTGTCAATAATTATTGTCAATTTGAATTTCGTTGAGAATTTTCTTTTATTAATGAATAACATTTTTTTTAGGTCCCAATATTTTCAGTAACAGAAGTTAGTTTTAAAATTTAAGAAGTACTTTAAATTACAACAAAACTGGACTTTTCGAGAGTACAATTCTTTTTAATTAGTCATATTCTGGAGTAATAATTAAGAAAAAAATGGTATAATTATTCACCAAAGTAGATATCAAAAATACTATTCGATCTCACATCGGATCCATCATATATTAAATGTACATAATGTTTGTTGTATGCGTAAGTGACTAAATACCGTAATTTTTGTACTTTCTATTTTGAATAAAAATATAGACACAATTAATTCAAGTGATTTATTCATAGATCATGTGATAAATTATTTGGTTCATACACTATAAATTGCACAGTGGTAATCATACAATTAATTGAAAACAACTAAAACTGTAATAACAAATAACAACAATAACAAAAACAATAAAAAATAAAATTACTAAAATTTAATTCGCAAGTTTTCACTCCCAAGCATCATCAATAAATTTGTGATCTTCATGATGATGATGATCTTCATGATGATGATGATCTTCATGATGATAATGATGTTCTTCAGTCTTTTCTTCTTTCACTGGAATATATATTTTCTTCACGACAGTATGGTGATGCGTGTGAATATGTTTAGGTACATGAATTTTTACGTGAACACTAGAAACATAGAAAGAAACTTATTAAGATAAAAGTATTAAGTTATGATTATAAGTGAATAAAATAATGAGGCATGTAATATTTCGACATAAATATTATAAACATACAAGAATTGATTATAGGCTGTATACTCACTGCTCACTATCTCCTGGAATAGGTGTTGATGATACTAGGAGGGCGATTGCTATGATTACAAGCAATACCAGCTGCAATAAAAAGTGCAATAGTAATCTACTAAGTTGATTCACTGAATGAGTAGCATTTGAAATAAAAAAAAACTCATTTTCTAGAAGGATTTCATATTTTTCTGTTTGTATATATCAAAATTAATTATACTATCTAATCAACTGGTAAAAAACTTACATGTGTCCGCATCATTTTTAAAAATATTCACTACTTTTTTATCTGAATGTTAAGCAAAAGGAAGTCCGAGAAAGACTAAGACTTATTTTGCTCAGAAACTGCCTTATAAATATAAAGTTAGAGTAATCATCATCGGTAGTAAAACATGAGCAATACGAATTTCCGGGTTAATATCGCGTGTTCTCCCTCTTAACTTTCGCTCTCACATCCAAGAATATTCTCGATACAGACCGTATAATGTTTATTGTGTATCCATTTCTTGATCAATCGAGGCATATATGTATTTACATTCATGAATTTTCGCAGTGAAAGTTAAAGGAAATGGTACGAAATCTCATGTATCTCTAATATACCTCATCATGTACAAATAAAAGCAGCAAAAATTTAATTTTCCCACTTTTTATCATTAAATACTTGGTATGTGAATCAATTGGAATTTAATGAACCATATAATAGAAAAATTATTTATAAACGAGATAAATTTTTTATATCGACATGAACTTATTATAAAATTAAATTAATAATTGTATAAATAAAAAAAAATATGTTTGGAATTATTAATGACTTCCTGAATTATTTATGGTTAATTTTGATGTCAGATCTTTTCTCCAATTAATTAATAGAAAAATAAATGATTGATAAAATAAAAGTAAAGGATCATTTATTTTATTTAATATACATTAAATGTAATTTTACAAATAGTATATGATCAATTAACTCTCGAGGATTATGTATGTGACCTTGGTTTCACTATAATGGAAAGTGAATTATACCAGAAAAATCCTAATACCACCGGAAGTATTGATCATGCTTTCTCACAAGACAGAAGTCCCATCTATCAAGCAGTATGTAGAGAGTACGATATATGTAATTGCGAAAAAAGTACACACTTATTCACTCTTGTAATACTCTTTATACTTAGCTCTTTCACCTTCATTACTTTCCATTTTAGTCTCACTGCATGAATAGTGAAAAATGATTTTTAATTATATGAATAGATTTTACAAACATTTACCACTACTTAATGTGAAAAAGTATTCTATTCAATTCTATTATTTTAATGGTTGCGAAAAATATGTTACATTGTTTTTCAGGTCTTTAAGTCTTTTGTAAAAAAGAAAAATTAAATTTATCACATTCTTTGATCTTTCCGGAAATGATTAGAGAGTTACAAAAAAAAATTATTTACAAAAAATTTCAAATAATATTTTATTACAGCCACACAATTAACAAAATTATAAATATTTACAAAATATTATTTATGTTACAAACAAATCAAAAATACAACAATCTATTTTCTTATATAATATCGTGCATTAGTCATGCCTATGACCGAATATGCAAAAAAAAAGAGTATCCTGGTGATCAGTTATAAATTAAATTTCACGAACAGAGAAATTATTACTTTCACAAACAAGGTGCTCGAGTGGATGGCAATCTCTAGAAGGCGTTCAGATGAGGAAGGAAATGAACCAGTGTTGAAAACGAGTTCTGAGAAGTCTGTCTGGCAATTTTATTAAAAAAAAGGGATGATAATAGGGACTGTGGAAAGGAGAAATACTTCTTTGCTTTCAGTGAAGCACTTTTACTTCTTATGATAGCCCGAAAAACTTCCGTGATGGCCGCCGCCACCACCACCACCACCGCCACTGGAATAAGAGTCAGAACCACCGAAAGAAGACGAACCATGGCTTGAATAAGAACTGTATCCGCCTCCACCACCCCCGGAAAATCCTCCATGTCCTCCGCTGGAATAACTGCCAAGTCCTCCGCCACCGCCAGAATAACCTCCGTGGCCACCACCGCCTCCTCCAGAATACCCACCGTGCCCACCTCCTCCGCCAGAGTATCCACCGTGTCCGCCTCCTCCACCAGAGTATCCACCATGTCCACCGCCTCCTGAAGAGTAACTGTCATGTCCACCTCCGCCTGATGAATATCCTCCAAATCCACCGCCACCTCCTGAGTAACTGTCGTGTCCACCAGATGAGAATCCTCCGTGGCTTCCAGAGAATCCTCCAGAACTACCACCATGACCACTAAAAATCATTTACTATATTTTAACATATAACATATAACAAGTAATTGGTAATACTATCCACTTGGATATAAAATAAATATATAATTTCAACAAAACGTACACCCTAATTAATTGAGAAGAATAACTTTACCTGCTTCCAAAACTAGATGAAAATCCACCATGTCCTCCACCACCACCACTACCACCATGAGATCCTCCAAATCCAGAAGAAGGAACTCCATAGCTAGTAGATGGAGGTCCATAACTATGCGAGGGTGGTCCATAACTTTGCGAAGGAGGACCATAGCTGTCGGAAATGTCATTACCATGTCCACCACCTCCAAAACTGTCACCAAATCCTCCTGAAGATCCATGGCCTCCACTGCCACCACCATATCCTCCAAAATCATCTCCGCCATGTCCTCCGCCAAAATCATGACCTCCACCACCTGAAGATCCACCTCCGAATCCTCCACCAAAGTCATGACCTCCACCACCTGAGGATCCTCCTCCGTATCCTCCACCAAAATCATGGCCTCCTCCACCTGAAGGTCCACCACCAAAACTGTCGTGACCTCCTCCGAATCCTCCGTGACCACCCCCTATTCCTGGACTAGTTATTTCTACATGATCTCCACCGCCGTGGTGTTTTTTTTCAACTGGCAGGTGTATCTTTATGTGAACACTGTAATTATAGTTGTCTAGTTAGTGCTGTCAATTAAATTTTTTTTTATAAAATAATTGCTAATTAAATATATACTCAATCCTGAGTTACATAGATGAAGAAATTAGAAAATTAGTCAATATTATGAAATAACCATTAATTTACTGAAATTCATTCACTAATAATTAATTTAATTGATTGTTAGACAAATGAAAAGGATACAATTATGTCATTAAAAAATGAAACATATTCATTTAGCTGTTATTTAGCATAAATAGACTGAGAAAAATATCATTAGGTTTCATTCAACAGTTTATTATAATTTGTTTACTTATGGAATTGAAAAATTAATCAGTTTAATTTAAATATAATTGACCATTTTAATTCTAATAATTTAATAAAAATTTTTCTCAGTTTTATTTATTACATCTATTCAATTTTAAATACTACTTACTGCTCATTGCCAAACGTTGCAGAAACTATTGAAGTGCCAATGGAAATAATTAATGAACAAATCTAAAATCATATACAAAACTATATAAAACTGTTTTTAAAAGTTATTAAAATAATTGTTATTTCAGACAAACTTACGAAAATCCGTGAAATCATGTCAGCCAAAATTTCCAATACAAATTGGCTTTTTGGTCTGTCCTGTACAATAGATGGATCCTCACTGTTCTATATATGTAAGAAGTGGTGGACTTATATACACTGACGTGAGAAAATACTCAAGGGAAGGAAGAAATTGGGTGGGGATACGTGACGGTAGTATGTTGTGTTGTCTTATTATATGAGGGAGACCGAGAGATCAAGGAAGATGAAAAGGAAACGTGCTTATACCCCACACCGACCGTGACCTACAACCCAGAGAAATTCGCGCTTCAGGCATTCTCTCAATAATCATAACTTCTATATCTTATCTTTTTATCAGGAAATTTGCACCTGATCCCATAAGTCATTTCATCATTTCCATCATCAACTTTTCTAGTATTATGTCAGTATCCCTTCTAGCCATTAGGAAACATATGTTCATTAATATATCCATTTGCATTATCAAATTCTTTAATGAAAGAATATTTGACATTATTAAATAAAAGATAACTATCAAATTCTCAAAATTATTATGATCATAAAATAATAAAAGAATTTTCTGCAACACTTTATGAATAAAAAGTATGAATTACTTGAATCCTTTGAAGTTGAACATCAATGGTAATTAACTCCTTAAAAGTTGAATGGTAAACTGAAAGCATTACATAAAATGTAAGCAAAGCTTTTGATGCAAAACACTTCCGATAAGATTTTGAAAGTGAAATAATTATTACTGATAAATGAACAATTGCAAAAAAAAAACACTTTCTATTATGACAAGTATTTTTTCAAGCGAGACTTTTTAAAGGATGACACAACTCGCGTGTCCTATGAACATATATTTTAGGACATCAAAATCATGTTTTTAATCACGTTTATTACTCAAGTGGTACGAAAAGATAAATTTTTTATGGTAGACTGATAAAAAAAGTATTGGAATGAAAGCATTTCACTTTTTACTCTGAAAATTAATATCAGACTCTCGATAATTGGGATATGCTAAAATCATTTCCAATTTTTTTCTAAAAGATTCCTGTTGATATTATCATTTAAGGAAAATTGCATTTTTTTAATTTTTAATAGTAGTTAATTAAACACCATTATATATAACACAAAAGAAATTTTTCATTATTTAAAATCATATAAATCATAATAGGAAATTCTGAATGGCCTATGTCAAATAAATCATGAATAGAAAAATATAAAATTATTTTTACCACTATTAAATAACTCAATTTTATCAATTAACTGCTTTGAATCACACTTCTATAAGAGTTCTGTCTAGTTTCCAATAAAGACGTTGAATTAATTATCTAATTGTTCTGAAAAAAAAAATGTTAAACGTTACAAAGGATGAAAGAAATTATTCAAGTTAAGTACAGAACATAAAAGGACATAAAATTACTACAGTGTTGAAGGTCCAGGGAATAGAAAGCGAGAGAATCGTGGGAGAGACGTGGAGATGTTACAGTTCCCTTTCTATTGACTCTCTCTTTCATTCGTCCTTCCTCCATTAAACAATTAGCGAGTAATATAAAAATGTATTACGAGAAAATGAGTGAAGATATTTTTTAATATAAATTTCATTCTAGATTTATCACAATGAAATAGTTCATTAATAATAGTTTAGTTAACATATCAAATTTATCATCAACATCATCAAAAGCTTTCTCTGTTTATTCGATGATATTTTCCTAATTCTCACGTATTGAAATAAAGTTTAAACCATCAAGATTTTATATCTTAATTTAATTCCAGATCTTAGAGAAATGGCCTTGGCAATGAGATACTTATTATTACGTGATTTGTTTTACTGTACTTATTTAGTCTTCTAGTACAACACCTTTCTCTCCTTCTATTTCTATTATTAACCTACTATTCTTTCACAGTTCATATCATAAACAGTATCACCTTTCGTGATACTTTTTTTCAATTAAATATCATATATACATGATGTATAACATTTCAATCACTTTTAAAATAATTCATTCTTTTTTTTAATTAATTCATCTTTTAGAAACATACCAAGATGTTTTTAATTCAACACTGAATAGTAACAATTTTTCTCCAAATAATTACAGGTATGATTTTTTAGGTTAAATTGGCGATTGCATACTTTTATCGTAAATTGAATCTTTGAAGCCTGCCAAAGTTCATTAAACTTGGATACTATCGATGCACTTCCGTTACTCTCTTCTCTCATCATTGAATAAAAGTAGAAGCATTTGCAATCCATTGGAGCTTCGCTTGCTTTGAATTACTCCGACAAATCCCTACTCCGTTGTTTTCCCTCTCACAATGTGACTGGAGAATGTCTGAGAACAAGTAACTTGTCTTAACCTTTTTATGTTGAGTGCCAAGATCATCAACTCGACCATGAGATCGTTCATGGTCAGTGGTAGCTATTTCCCATATTTGTTATAGAAAAATAGCATTTTTATCTATTTTTTATCTTGTTATATGTGAATGGAATTTTTATTGTTTTTTGTCAAATGTAATCAACATTCCTTTTTTCAATAACTTTCTATAAAGGTATGAATATTGAATTATAAAAAAACTTATTAATGTTTGTTGAATTATTTATACATGAGATGGGATTGGGATAGATGCGAGAAATGATCGTCTTATTGCAACAAACTTTCTAGACTTTCAAACACTCAACTGGTCATCCACTCCAGCAGTGAAAGTGCCAATGTCTTCACGTGTCAGTATCCTTTAAATACATTGAACTTCGTTTTGTGTAATCAAAAAAAAAAAAAAAATGTATTAACTAATTTTTTTTAAATTGAGAGTTTTAAAAAATATTCATTCATCAAGATTCTATGAAATAACAACAAATTATGACATTTAATTTTTTTTTTTTTATTAACAATGCAGTTTCTATAACAAAGTGGTGTAGTATAAAATATATAACAAAATATATGCAGATTTCTAACAAATTTTTTTAACAAATATAACAACTTCATTAAATAATAATAATAAGCATAATCATTAATACTTTGCTTGGTTGAGATTTTTTTTAACACCACTGAAAGTGCATTAAAATATTCTAAAGCATATATTATTTTCTTCTTTTACAAGCCTATATCACGTATTTAATTTCCTAAATTAACAACTTCTAACAGTAATTTATTATAATTATTCTACGTAAATTCTTTCCAAACTAACAGACATAAAACATGCATGAAATCTAAAAAGTAAAGTGGACAATGTAGTTACTATCAGACATACAATTGACTTGAAAAAAAAATAAAAAGACCTTTGGCAATAAATCAAACTTAATACAATATTTTAAAATACAATAAAAGTTTTTCAAATTATCCTGGAAGGAGTCCAGAATAGCCGGACAATGCATAAAAACCAGGAATAGCAGTTGATGCTGGAGAAATTTGGTTAACAGGGTTTTGGAAAGGATGAACGACATGCAATCCTGTCGAAGTAGGCAATCGAACTGGATTGGTTTGTATGGGCATTGTTCTAAAATCGTGTGGAATATCTTGAATTTCTTCTTTAACAGAATATCCTTGCGGAGGATGTAAATTAATCGATGTGATGATATTCGAAGTGTCCGGGTGATCGCCAATGTTATGCTGGGTATGCTTTGGAATCTGAGGAAGTTGTGGAAGTGGTGAAAGTGATTCTGGTTTTACAGAAATAATTCCAAGACTTCCAGTCGATAACACAGGTCCCTGAGATCCAGATGATGTTGGCCATGATTTAGTAAGTTCAGCTACTTTTTTATTGTATTCATCAAAATTAATTGTATCTCTTAAAATATACGCTTTATTTCCATTAGATTTCGGCTGTTCCTGATGTACAATCAACTTTCCAGAGACTTGAGGATTTATTCCAGCAATAGCTTTTGCTTTAAGAAATTTCACATGAAGATCATCAATTTTTCTATCTTGTATTTCATCATGATATTGATCAGCTTCATTGTTTTGATAGTAAACGTCAGCTTGTTGAGTCATTTGAGGAGTTATGTAGACTGGTGTGAGTGAATTATAATTGACAGAATCATCAGGAGATTCATGAGAATCTGATGAAGAGGTAAATCCTGCATGGTGCATCAAAGCATCATGAGGTATGTATCCCTTTCCAAATGAGATTGCATGTGTTATTCCTTTTCCATGGGGTATAATAACGTGATTGACCTCTTCATGACCTTGATCAAAATCATCACCTCCATGTGGTACATGTTTATTGAACTGAACCATTCCTCTGGGTCTAGGATGACCGGGTAAAAGAACTTGTTTTGGATGATGCGTTGGTAAAAATTCATTGTCAAGAAATTGTGTTGCTTTTAAAAAAGGTGGACGAATAAATTGACGCCACGGTGTTCCATGAGATCTTTTCACATGTCGAGGCATCAAGAATATTACCTTTTTTCTGAAAAAAAACGAAAATTGTATAAATTTATTATTTTTAAAATTCATTAGTTTGAACAATAAGTATTATTTGTTTAATTATATTACTTACTGAGCATCACTGAACTCTAGAATGCAGGTCACCAATGCAATAATTCCAATTTGCTGCAAATTATAAAATAATTTAATGAATAAATTTTATTAAATAAATAATTAGAATGTAGATAAATTCATGGATATGATTTTATTATTAATTTTATTCATATTTGTCGATATACTTTTATCGAATAAATTAAAATTAATAGATCAACTTACCATTAAAATCATGATGGAAATAAAATAGCGTTAAATAGCTATAAAGTCAATAATCAAAACCAATAAAAGCAATGAATTGATGAAATAATAAATAATGTTGAAAGCTGATGAAAGTTTAATTAATACAGTTAAAATTTTACTTTGATTCTTGATGAATTACTTTATTAATCACAATTTTAACAATTTACATATTTAAATGAAATCAATTTTAATTGTAAATATTAAAGATAAATACTAATTTTTTCACTTTACTAGTGAAATGTTGAATGACAATTGTATCAAGTGTATATAATCACTAGTCTCCAAGACTTGTTGACGCATTACTAAGCAGTGCAGAAGTGAGACACTTCTCTTTTATAGAAGATAAAATGGTGCAGGAGAAGGCATACATGGCCCTCCCACTGTAGTTAAGATCATGGTAACGGTTCTTCTAGTTGAGATAAAATAGTAATTACCTCGCACTTGTACTATAATTTTTATTCAAGTATGAATAATACAAGTTTTATCATGAAAAAAAATTCGAAACTCATGAGTACAATTTAAAGTGTTTCACTTGAAATCAGTAATGGTTGACTGGGATAATGTTGCAAACAAGTGCACCTTTATGATGAATACGAGAGTGAAAATACATTCGTAATCGATTTAAAGTATCCTATCTCATTATTTTAATTTCTGTAAATCATTTCACGTTCATTAATTTTTTTTATTTTATAATTATAAAAGCAACTAAAACTCAGCACTATAATTCAATGGAGCTGATTATGGTCATTACGAAACTTAAAATTTTCTTTTTAAACTCAAAATTGTATAATTAACTTATTGAATAATTTTAAAAAATATTTCTTCTTAAAAAAAAGAGTTTGCGTGCTCTGAAATTTTTTATTTCATCTACAAGTATAAATTACATTAATTTTATTCAGCATAACATAATTGTGAGTTGATTTACTTGTATCTGATAATTCGATAATGATTTGTTATGTTTTTCGTTGTTTGAATAAGCAAAAAAAAAAGACATTGGTATGGGAAAACTATATCTCACTTTCTCTTAAGAAATTGTTTAATTTTTTATTTATTGCTATTATGAAAAAAAAAATTCTGCTGACACATAAAAAAAGAAAATTACATATTTTGTTAAATGTTCAAAGTATTTTTCACATTTTCATCAATATAATGATGAGAGTGAAAAGCAGATTAGAACATGTAAAAAGTTTTAAACTATTTGGTCAAAACCAACCATTATCATTGACACTTTTTTCACATTAATTTTTTTTTAATTTTACTTAATATTGAATCACGACAAGTTGCACGTTTTAATAAGTGTAAACAATTCACATTTTTCATTTAATAATGTATATGAAAGTTAACATTTCTTATTTACCAAGAAGTTCATCGTAGTGTAGGTACATCATTAACTTGATTACAAATCATAAGTTCTATAATTAATTCTGTTCTGATTACAAGTTGTGTTTTAAACTCTCCTACTTGCATGATCTTTTTCGTATTATTCCAGTTGAGCTCCGTAATTTTTACTGGATTTAATGTGCTTTCTAAGTAAAAAATTCACTGTCAAGGTCATCACTAGTTGCATTGATTTTTAAAATAAACTCATCAATCCAATTAATCATTATAGCTTTAATTTTTAATATGATGTCTTCATCCAGATTTTTTTTGATTTTTATCAACTAAAATCTAGACCAAAATTGACAACTTAACTTTTTATTTACAATAGTTATTTTCAATTTTTTTCTAGAAGATGTTTCTAACAGATCATCTTTTATTCATGAATTTTTTATAGTATATAAAACTTTGATTGATCAACACTGCAAACTTAATTTTATTTTATTAAATCATATCAAGCATGTAAATCAGTTATGTTATACCAACCATGACAAGTTATCATACATAGACAAAATATTATCAATCTCATATAATCAAATACCTAGTGATCTATTTTGTTTTCTCTAAAAACTTGTTTATATGCCATTTATCCTTCAGGCTGCTAAACTTTTTGTCTTTTAGGATGAATAACTCCTCCTATCAATATTTTTTATATAATTTAATCTCTTTTATAGCACATTGATCTCCTTTCTCTACAGCTAGTAAAACATTATGAAAGTAATCTATTTTTACTATCATTCCAAAACTAAATTATTTCTTAGATATATTTTTTGTGAAATAACATCAATAATTATAAGAAATTTATTTCTGCCAATATCAGTAATGAAGACATAAATTGTTAGTAAAGAAATCATGATACTACTTAAAGTTATTTGAACAAAGAACTATTTACCTGAATGATAAAAGAAAAATTTTTTCTTCATTTAAATAAACTTGTATCGTAGCATTTATCAAGACCTACTAATAAAGATGGTATTTACTTCATGAAACGTTTATATCTTTTCTTCGACATGCTATACATTTGTATTTCCAATGACACGTTACAAATAAGTATATTTATTGTTAATTAAGAAATAACTATTTGACATAGAAATAATGAAACAACTTTCATCTTCCTTTTTAAGTTTTGAATGGGCTCTCTTGACATTATCTATAAAATTACGTATAATTAAAAAGGACGTCATTACGGATACTAATAAAGATTTAATTAATGCTTATATTATATAGACACATAGTATTTGAAATAATGACTTTAATATCAGGGAAAATATTTAAATAATATCCTGATCATTAAATCATATGTTTGATTTAAAATTTCAAAAGTAAATAAACACGTAATTATAATTTATTTAATGTACATCAGAAAATAAGTATCTCAACTGCTGTATTTAAGTTTGATAGCTCTGTGGACAATACTGATGATGTTGTGATAAAAAGAGATGGTTCCTTTCTTTCTTTGATGCTTTTGTCCTCACTCAAAGTCAATGTTTTCATTCTGTCTCCACTAAAGTTACAAGTATTTCCTTTCTATAAGATATAAAGGCAATATCTAATGCACTGAAAGTGTCAGACCAAAGCAGTACCTCCAACAAGTATTAACAGCAGATAAGAACACTATATAATTATGATAGGATATACGGTGAGTTCCGGATTTTATTTTTTTTTGAATAAAATATTATCTAGAGAGGAATGGTAATATATATTAACTCAGATAGTTTAAAGTAATAAAAAAAAATGTTGAATGTGATGGATAAATTATTGATATTAATTAATGCTGTCTTTTATTTCAATTTTAGATTGCAGTTCTACTAGCTATCTCCTTAGTCAATCCAATAAGTCAAACAGAAGCTGTACAGTGAGTTGGAATTTCCTTAATTTTTAATTACATTGATTGACAGTTGGTTATCGGAAATAATCTCATTTTTTTTTAGCCGTCGAGTTATCATTCATATTCCCTATCATATAAAAACAATAAAACATACTCATACAATCACTAAACTTGTGGAACATCAAGATAGTGGAGAGAGTGAAAAATATTGGGATTATCCTCCTCCGGAAAAACCGACCTCTATTATTATTCATAACAGTTGGGGAAGACGTGGTATTGGAAGAGAAGGAATTGATGATGCAGTGCTTTGGGATGAAGGATATGCAGAAATGGATTTTGGTGATGAACTTGGTGGTGTTCCTTATGAAGAATATGCATTATAAATTGTGAATTTTTTGTAAAAATTGTTCGACTAGTCTTTGTGAATAATTATCATGATTATTATACATCCATTAGGATTAATTTTATGGTGCGATATTTCTATTTTGTTAATTTTATAATTTATGAATAAATTGAATAAATTCTGAAAGTGTTTATTGAATTAAGGTTTTTTATTATTTGGCATTAAATGATACAAAATTATAAAAAGTACAAATATTGGTAAATTAAATTACTCCAAACTATCCTATACGTAAATTTGACAAGTAATTATTGTTATTCCCACTGTTGATATTACTATTACCATAACTATATCTTTCTGAGCTAGATCCCCCTCGTTGTTCAGATGATTCCTCTAGCTTTTCCTTGTAGAAATTATTTGACAGATCATTATACAGGTGTCCTTCCTCAACATGATGACCTTGTCTATGACCATTATTGTAATCATGTTGCTCATATGATTCAATATCATTAGGAGAAATGTCATCAACATCTTCATGAGTTTCATATTGCGGTGGATAGAAGTAGCCAGTTACACCAGTTTCAAATTTCAACTTAGGAGGCACTTGAGCTCCTGGTGGATTTGGTGACTCTTCCATGCTTCCGGAGTCTTTGTAGTCATCATAAAAAGGTATTCTTGGATCATAATTTTGACCTGGATAATGTCCTTGCATTGGATCTTGACCTTGCCCTTGATTGTGGTGATTTAAGTTGTTAAATACAGGAGGAAACGAGTTCATGAGATTTTTCTGAGCATTTTCTTTCTCTCCTATTTGATGGTAACTCCCATGATTATACGCATCCCAACTGTTCCAGTTTTCATGGTAAGTTTCTAGGTGACTATGTTCTTTTTTCTTCTTCTTTGCTGGAATTTTGACATGAATAAACACTGTTTTTGTGTGAATATCATGCTTTATTATTTCTGGAACGTAGATTCGTAGATGGACACTAAAAAAATTTTTTTTCTACTTCAAATAATGAATTTTTAATACTAACGACATCATAGAAAGAAAAATAAACGGTCGAAATTAATTACTATAATTATCATTTTACTCATACCATCACTAAAACCCTAATACTTTGAAATGTAATACTTTGAATTATTTTAAAAATTATTTAATTTGTTTAAATTATTTTATATTAAATTAATTACACGTTTTTTCTTCTGACATATTCGTTAAATAATTATCTTATTAACTTTTACACTTACTGTTCATCCTCGTCACAAAAGCTCTGAAGAATTTCCGTAAATATAAGTAGAATGAAGCACTTTACTCTCTAAAAAAAAATAAAAGAATGCGTATTATATAGCATAATTATACATACACGATATTTAATGGATACTCTACCATTATCGATAGTTGAGAGAAATGATTAATGGAGTATTAAAGAAAATGCGCTCGTTTCAGTAGTGCAACTGAATTTAAAGTCAATTGGTATACCAGAGCTGCATTTATATCAATAAAAAAAACCTTGTCGCTTTCCCGATTGTCCAGCGTTTGTTCTGCACGAACTCCTGCAAATACTTTTTATTTGTCAAAGAACAAAATAATTGGAGTAAAACGATTGGAAAATGAAATAACTTTTTTAATATTTCATTTCTTTTCTGTAAAATCATTGTCAGTGACATTGCACTTGAATTATTTGGAGTAAAAATCTTGCAGAAATTTTTTTTATTTTTTGTCATTAAAAAATAATTGAAATACTTATCTTAGAGAGAACTCTAAATGAAATTGTATTAAGATATAGAAACAAAAAATATCATTGATAAAAAAAATTTACTAAACAATTAATTTCTTATTTAGAAATAATAGTTTATAATTTTCATAATAATACTAATTGGATCACTTAAAATAAATATTGTTTAATAAATATTTAATCAAAAGGTATAGAGTGAACTATTAAACTAAATACATGCTTTTAAATTCTATTTTATTTAACGTTCTACAATATCATATTAATATCTATAATAATAACGGCGGTGATATTTTATTACAATAATTACTATAATACCAACAATAATAAAATTTACTATAAAAGTACATTAAATGAGAATTTGTACATTTTCATTGAACATAATTGGTTCTTTGGTGGTAAAATATTGGCAGTATCAATAGAAGTACATCAAATATATCATTTTCTAAAATTATCAAAGTCTGTATCCTCTACTGCAGAATTTTCAGTATGCTCTATACTGTCTAAATGATCTGTATTATCAAGGAGATCATACTTTTTCTCTTCATGGAAATGATGAGGAATTACTTTATAAATTGTATGAGTATGTTTTATTTTTTTCACATGGTATGGAACATGAATGACAACTTTCTTCCTGAAAAATATTAATTAATAAATAAGTTAAGAATAATGATCACCAATTTAGTTTGAAAATTAACTTAATTTTATTGTTTTATTTAACAAAAAAATTATCTCTAATCCACAATAATGATTATTTACAATTATTTTAAGAGATAGAAGTATTAATTTATAATTAAGAAAAAACCACTTTTACCCGTCTGAAAAATCAGGGAATATCAACATTGCAATTAAAAACGTCGATAAGCACTGAAATAGATAAATAGATTCTATTAATATTGGTCTTTTTGAATATTATTAATTAAATCTAAAAATATCAGAACAAAAAAGAAACAATCCATGAATCCTCACCAAGTGCTCAGTCTTCATATTTATCGATCTGACTTAATTCTAAATACAAAAGAACTCTTGCACTTGATTCAAATAAAACAAATCGTTTAACTGCGTTTGTAGCAACTGCATCCACAGCTTTATATATCAGGTGTGACTAGCGAGGCGAATCGTACAACCGCAAAGTATACAGTGAAACTCTGATACTCATCCTCATATTAATGACCGGAACCAATCTATAAATCCTAATAATAAAAATCGCAACTGTTCCATTAGGAAGGGAATAATATCAAAGCTATAATTGAGACATCAAATACATCAACAGAAAGTACACATCAATTTTATGCACTTTTCAATTTTTTCCTTATGGTTTTAATTATAAATCATTCATCAGAGATAAATGAATAGATTTCAAATACTTAAATGTTAAGTAATGATTAGAAAAATTAGTATAATTGCATATTTATGTTAAATAAATATCTTCTGGTATTTAGATCTTTTAATTATATAAACTAACGATTATTCTGTAAATTCTAGTTATCAATAAGTAATTGAAAGTGAAAATTAAAGTGAAATAGAGAGCAAATTCACTTATGATTTTAACATGATTTTAAGTAAATTCCCTTATCGCGTGTACGGACGATCCGTAACACTTCAGATAAATGCTTGAGTGAAATAATTAAATGCTACATATTAGTAATGATGATGAAAGAAAATTTTTTTTTCTATTCGTGATATGAATTCGAGAAATTTCTAAAACTTGAAAAAAAAAGAATAAAAATAGCATAATTCTCTGGGCACTTTTCTTTCTATCATAAATGCTGATCAAGTCATCTTGCATGTATCCAAGCTGATCCCTGTTTCCGTTCAACTGGAAGCCATGTCAATAGATTTTTTTCTGATTATTTTGAAATGTGAAAGCTGTCATTTAAACTGTGCTCTAATTCCACAAATCGATATACCCTCATTGATATTTTTCATTAAAAGTTTTCTGCAATTAGTGAAAGCTAAATCGCATTTTAATATCAGTATCAGTAATGTAAAAATCAGTTTACTTCACTTAATTGACTATTGAGACAAACAAACTAGGTTTTTTTTTGCTCTATAAATATAGTTATTAAGTTTATTAACATCATTCCTTGTAACTAGATCTTTGGATTTTTATTTGTTTTTTCAACATTCTTTTTCTATTGATTTGTTTTTTATTCAACTTAAAAAAAAAATACATATTTATTACAACAATTGTAAATAAATGTATGATTAATATCACTTAGAAAGCATAGTTAGAATTCACTAAATAATCAACTAATTAAAATAAAAAATTTTATAACAAATTAAAGATGGTAAAAAAAGTTTACTTTTATGAATACAAAAAAAATCTCACTTTAGCAAGATTTTTCTTAGAATTTTACATGGATTTATTTGCTTTCTATAAGTGTTAGAAAATATTTTATTTATTTATGAGTATTTTTGTTTCATAAAAACAAAATTTCTTATTTTTATAAAGATTTATTATTGTTTATCTTTTGATTTAATTACGGAAACTGAGCTTTTTACACTTTCAACAACTCTTATTTTTTTATTATGATTATTTTTTAACCTTTCATACAATTTATCAGGCTTCCTAGTTTCTCTATTCTTCCAACTACCACTGGCAGTTAAATTCATAACATTCTCGATACTTCTTAAAGTAATATTTTCCACTTTATAAAAATCATTAGCATTATTTGATAAAACACTAGAATCAAGTTGTATTTTTTCAGTTACCCTATCAACTAATTTTTCCGCACGTTTATCTGAATTTCTATTATAAACAGGAGTAGTTACAAAAGTTGATACTGATCTTCTATTAGTAGTAGTTTTCCGATTTCTTCTCTTAATCATCTCTGAAATTCTAGTTTTCATTAATTGATTATCGTTCGTGTTATTTTGTACATCTCGTCGACTTTTTTCCGTCATTTTTTCATCGACATGAAGTTCAGCATCTTTGCTTATTTTCATCACGTGTTTATCCTCATTCTCAGCAACAAGTTTTTTCCAAGTTTGTAGTAAATCCGGTGGAGAAATTTCTTGAATTTCTTGAGAGCTATATTTAAAATCATTATTTCTATTTTGTTCTAAATGAGGACTTGGTGTTGTTGTAGTTGTAGTAGATGATTTGAGTTTCGTAGAATAATTAGTTAATTGTGAAGACGTTGATATCATTCTATCCAAACGATTGACATTATCCAACTGATTATGATCAGATATAGAAGGTAATGCTGTGGTGGGGGGTAAAGGAAGATCAACATTCTCAAGAGTTACTTTAACTTGCTCACTTCCCAAGGTATGTAGACTATTATTATTATAGAGAACTCCAGGAAATGATGAATAACTGGGATAATTAGTAGGTTTGAATGACTCCATTCCGTGATGAAAACTTCCTCCGCTTGCTCCAGGAATAGAATTATGAAAATCGTACACTCCATAAGGATTCTGGGGAAAACGGTCATGGGAACGGAACGGTGGTTGCAGATGTGGACTAAACGGAGGTTTGAAATTATAAGTATTTGGTCCGAATTTCATTGGCATATAGTTTTTATGATTTGGATAGTTTCGTTGATTATATGACCCATAATTTGAAGGTTGGTTATAGTCATATCCTTGCATATTATTCATGTGAATATTATTCATATGAAGATTGTTCATGTGCATAGCATTCATATGCATAGCATTCATATGATTCGGTATTAGAGGTCTGTCCATCGCCGTTGAAGGTCGAGGCCAAGAAGGAACAGTTGGAGCAACAGGGAAGAAATTCCCCGATGGTTTTGGTATAAATCTTGTAGATCCTGATGGAAATATTGGTTTGGGATGATAAGGTGTCGTTCCTCCACCTGGTGGATTACCATGAGGTGGATTTTTTGCATCAGATGACACTCGAATTATCACAAAACTACTCTTCGTATGAGGCGATGGCGTCAAGTGTTCAATGTATAACTCGTCGGATATACCATTGATACTAGGCACAAGTAATCGCAGAGGTGCGGGTGTTGACGGTTTATGTGGATTCACTAACTTAGATATCCAATCTGCAATGAAGTCAAATGGCCCGTCATCATCATCATCATGATGTGTTTTTACTTTGACTACAGGCTTTAATACTAAAGCTCTTGGTACTCTTACATTATCACTGCAAGAAATAACAATATTTATTATTATTTAGAAACAATGTAATTATTATTTCTCTTTTAATTTGTTAATAATTATAACTTTCAAAATTTTTACTTAAACTTACTCTCCCGGAACGTCACCATCCCCTGACACTGTAGTGGATAACAAAAGTAATCCCACCTGAAGAAATTAATGAATATATTAAAATAAATATTTTTCCATCAACGATTAAATATAAATAAAATTATTTACACTTAAATAAAGTAGTGTATACTGCATTGTTTTAACTTCACATGAAAATCGAAACACTTTTTAAAAAATTTATGCTTGATGTCACATTTATCCACAACTAAATCTCATTCAAATAAAAATTAAATCTAATTAAAAATCGATCAAAGACCAGTCTGAACTGTTGAAGAGATCGATGAGGTCTGATCAGTAAAGCGACAAGCACTCACCGATATCAGACATATAATCCTCAGCATATCTTGTGGGACCCCACACTCGGACGAAGTACAAAGTTGCACTACTTGCACGACTGTCACCTCGCATCATATTCCCGCAACTTCTAAAGACTTTCCTTGTTACGTTCCACGTTTTTCTAGCATTTGGTGCATATACCTTCAAATGGATGTGTAAGTACATGATAGTTAACTGGCCAGAGTCTGTCATTTGCTTCTACCCAATTGGCACTCTCTCAAGGCAGAAAGTTTACTAAAACTGATTTAAATTTATCATTAAAAAGATCTTTGAACTACTGCCTCATATTTCGAGAGTGATAATAAAAAGTTCTCAACACGCAATACTTTAAACATAACTTTCATTCAATTTTATGGATCTTAGACTCAATAAAAACAATGGAGTAATTATTAATACATTTTTTAATCAATTACATCTTGGTCACTTTTATTTAGAAAAAGAAATTGTTTACAATAAAAATTGAAGGTGAAAAATATTATATAGTACCTAAGTACCTTCTTGGATATTTAAGCCAATATTCTTGATTATTTACCTAAAATTTTTTTGTGAATAATGATTTTTGGATTTGCATTCATTAATTATAAATAAATTATTTTTCATTCATGCAATTCTTGAGTTTTAATAATAACTACATTTAAGATTAGTAATAATAAAGAGCTGTAAATAAAACAATAGATAATTGAAAAAGGTATTTAATCGAATACCTATGTAAGTATTATTCAATTCTTGGAACAAATTTTGCATCCTGTTTAATGGACATGAAAGCTAAAGTTTCACCATGAAGATTCTCCATATCTAACTTAAGTCTTTTTCTCACCTAGTATGGTACTCAAATAGTTCTTAATAGATAGAAGACATAGTAATTATATTCAAGTACATTAAAAGAAAAACTGGTCCATTAAGTATCATATGGATAGATTGACAAAACTTCAATCAGTTTGATAGAAAGTAGAATATCAATTGATCTGTGTATGTACGTAAGTTTCTATAATTACCACAAGTTGTTTTTTCTATTGATTGGTTAGTAGATACTCAGATCACTCTTGATTTCTTTTCGGCAACTAGATTTATTAACAACCGGCAATTTGTGGAATCTGGAGTTAATTAGAATTAGAAAAAAATAAGAAAGTATATTCAAAGAATGCACTAAATAAACAATTTATTTTTAGAAAATAATTAAAACGGAAACTGTATGCATCGTGTATCAAGATGACTAGTAATTCAAAGGGTCATTAATGATATATGAAAGCTTCCAAGGAACGCCTTTAAGCATTATAATACAATAAATATAATATCTCATTGGAACTTAATATAATATCATATTGGAACTCAAATGATAGTCTTACTTACGAATATTATAACTTTCGTAAAAATGATATTTTTCTCTGTGATTTATCGCTAACTAATTCACGCAACGCATGTTACACTTTAAATACATTATTTTTTTTTCAATAGCTCTGTAAATCGTAGAGATGAAACCCAAATAGATAATACTACGATTATCTGATTTTCACAAGCATTAGAAATAATACGCATTAGTACAACAATCTCACTTAATTATATTTGATATTAACGACGAATGATACTTTCCCTTAATCATAATTAAAGCGACGCTTTCCGTCAAAACGGAATCCGTATGCTGCACTATTTGGTACACCTACGAGACCTGGATGACGATGTGCATGAAAAGATCCATGGAGATGAGGTGGTCGGACTGCATTCTCTTCTTCACTTTGAACTCCTTTTAAGTAGAATGCCTCAAACTGACCTTCCGGCAGTAGAATATCTTTGAGCTTTTCATCTTTTGGATCGTATGAGTTTATTTCCAGTATGAAGAAACTTGAAACGATCAACAGAAACTGAAAGAGAAATTACTGTTAGATATTTGTTATAGAACTGGTTTAGAATCATTTCATTTTAATCATGGTTTATTCTTTACATGGATATAAAAATATTATAGTTCACTACTAAGACTCTAACTATTGAAGCTAATTGTCTAATTAAGCCATTCACTTAATAAATAATAAAAAAGTTTTATGGAGATATATTCAAGATAAACTACTATAGTATAAAATAATATGACAATTTTCTTATTTATTAAATCATTAAAAAATTAAGATTTTGAAAGTTTTTTCAAATTATTGATACAAACCATGTACTCACCAACTTCATTTTTTCCCTTGTTAAATGTTGATTTCTTGTTAACTGTCACTAACAACCAGTGTTGGAGAATCCAGAATTTTAATCGATCAACAATTTGATAAGATTATCAAACTAGTTATTTAAAACATCTAATTATTAGTGTGTATAGACGATCTTGTTTATTAAAGTAAAATCTTCTTAGTTTAATAATATGATATGTTTAATCATACGATCGATGATTCCAACTACGAACAGTTACACCAGCAAAAGTGAAAGTTGTGGTAGTCTTTCAATCTTTTAAATTTATATTGGCGTCGACTGATGCAAGAAATAAAATAATAAACATTAACTCCTACGACATTGTATTAATTCTGATCTCCCGAAAGCTGATATGAAATTTAATCATCACTGAATATTAGAAATTTAAACGGAAGCAGTTGACAAGATCTGTGGTTGTAGAAATTATAGTACCTTTGTTTGTCCTAAAAATGTTCAACTCACATGTTTCTTAGTTTACAATTATTTACTTTCTCCTAAATTTTTAGTTTAATCAACTGTGTTCCTAAAGATATATTATTAAAATTAATTTATTAATTAATAGATAAATTAGAATTATTTTTCTATTTCATTTATATTCTGTCGCCTAATTAGTATAAAATTTAATTTGGATTAAAAATCTACACAGAGATATAATGCAACAGGTTTCTACTCATGATAATAGTTATAAATTTTCAATTCGTTAGTAGTTAATAATCAAATATAGGGAAAACTATGACATTAAAAAAATTGAGCCATAAATTAAATTATTCTTGATAATTAATATAAATAATTACTAAACGTGTTATTCACTGATGCTAACATTTCCGGTTTCCTTGCCTTTTATATCATTGGTTACTTTTTTTGGTTAATCATGAATCAACTATTTAAGAAAATAAGCAAGAATATTTTTAAAACATTTTTATCCCTGTGTTAATTAATTTAAAATATACAAAAAATTGCACAATTGATGTTTACAATGACACACTCAATATATTCTATGTATCACTCAGTGATAATAAGTACTGCCTGGAATTAAGCGATATAATTGTTGTAATTATATTTTTTTTGTTCTAATTTATTTGTCAACATCAACAAACCAGGTTGAACATGTACTCTTTTGTACTTTGTAAACGGAAGATATTTATGGAATGTTACTCTTTTTTATCTTAGTAATCTTAGAAAGTAAAAATAAATTATTTAATCAATTAGTTATGCTTATGACAGTGTTACAAATAAGTGTGTTAAATATGCAAGTTGTAATAAAAATTTTAATATTCAAATATTCGCTATAAGTTTTGTTTCATAAAACATGCCACTTAGATTAAAAAATTTGTAGAGCTAAAGTAATATTTTTAGAGATGAATTGTTTTTGATAAAGAATAAAAACCTCACAAGGCACTGTCATTATTTTTTCATGGTTTGTCCACTATTGCTTAATTATGTATCCGTTGCGATAGATAAGGTCAATTTGACATTAAATAATCATAATATACCATTTATTTATTACGTTTGTGTTTAAATATTTTATCTATAAATTATATTTTTTTGTTCTTCATTTCATTATCTCCATCTACTTTCAATTCATTTTTACTTAGTTTACTCATTTAAATACGTAAAATTGACTTTCGAGTATATATTCATGTTATGCTTCAATCATACGTATTTTTTGTTTAAGAATGTCTATGTTTCTACTTTTCAAAAATTCTGTATGAAAACATATCAAATCCCTGAATTATTTCACTTTTGTGATGTCTTAACTAAAAAAATTAAAAAAGTAGAAAACTAACGTAATTGCTGTCATTGTCTTGATTACTTTTTTGTAAACTAATTTCTATATGTACATCTCGTTCTCTTCAAAAGAAAGTTTTAAATAAATTAAACAGAATATAAATAAGAGTCTATTTTAGTTTTGGCATTTGGCGGCGACGTAAATGGAGAAAACCAAGCAATAGAAAATCTTCCAAATACAGCCTGAATAGATTTCCATCGACTATTACGAACCCAACGTGCTTCTTCTTTTTTCAATTGTTCAATGCCCTATTTTAAGATAAATATAAAATTTTAAATATAACGACAGTTAATCAATCAACTAGACTGATTTGTATTTGTTTTAATATTTCATTATTTTTCCCATGCAATTTACTTACCGTTTCATCATTCCAAATAGCTTGCAGTTGCGTTCCTAACATAACAGCAGTGAAGATAGCAAAAAGAAGAGCTTCAAATGTTAAGAACATTAATAATATAACTGTTGCAGGCGGACTAAACGTTGAACAATCACGCCATTCTTGTCGGACGCAAGTGGTAAATTGTTGAATACACAAAAAAAGAGATTGCAATGATATTCCCGCGATATAAAACTGTTGAAAAAATTTATTTCATTTTAAAATATTTTATTATCTCAAAACAAAAATTTATTAACGTAGTAATAAATACTTACTGTAAAAAGAACAAAATATTTTTGATTATTCTCTCCAACACAATTGTTAACCCATGGGCAATGATGATCCATTTTTCTTATGCATCTAAAATTTGTTATTAATTGTATAAATACATTACTTGATCATTTTTATTAACTTTCCAGTGGAAAGTTATAGTATGGGTCCGATTTTGCGAATCCCGAATTTTGACGTAATTCCACGTTTCAAGGTTCCCAGAGTCGAATACAATAGTTTTTAAGTGGACGTCTGTGTGTGTGTATGTGCAGATGTGCGTATGTTTGTACATGCATTCGAAATTATTTTTCGTCTTAATTATCTCGGGAACAAAAAATGATATTGACATGGGACTAATTGCATTCGACGCATAATTACTCAGAACTGATTAAGTTTCCAGCAAAATCGGTCCAGCCATTTTTTATGCAGAATCAAAGAACTGGAAAAAATGGTAAACTAGCTAAATCTTTTCATTCTTTCCACTGGGAAGTCCTGGACCTTTTGGGTCGCACTCAGACCATTGCAGAGCACTGATATTTTGAAATTTAATTTGGGAGTAATAAATTTTATACCTTTGACAAACAGAGCAATGATGAGCACGATCAGGTTTAATCGAACAACACCTTGGGCATTTAAAAATTACTTGGCCACCTCTAAATCCCATTTGTTGGAGCATTTCTTTCGTTGCATTTCCCTTAGGTACAGCACCCTATGACAAAAATACGAATGAATCTGAGGAAATCTAAAAATTTTATTTGAATAACAAGTGATTAAAAAATCAATACTTACTGGATCGGTAAACATAGTCTTTAAATGTGATGCAAAAGCAAGGAATGCTAGTGTTTGAAACAATGCCATATTAAAACTTGAATACAGTGTAGTAATACTTGGAATTAAAATCACTGCCATCACAACAAACTCTGCATAAATGATTAGAAGCCAGGTTAAAATAGCGCATATTATTCCGCATATATCCTACAAAATAAAAAAATTATTTATTGAAGAAATATTATAAATAACTTATTACTTATTATTTATTATCAAAAATGTAACTTATTGACATAAAAAAGTACCTTAATACACCAAAATTTTCCTCCACAACATCGATTGTGAATGTCTCGCTCCTTTTGGATCGGCATATACTCATAATCCATTTTGATATATTTATTATCACCGTCGTATCGATCTACATTGATAAAATTATTTATTTTTTATGAGCTCTGCTGCTTATCAATACAATATAATATTTTTTTTTAAATAATTTTTACGTAATAATTCATAAGTTGAGTATAGAATTTATGTTTTATTGACTTATATTTTAAATTAATTAATGATATGTATGTAATGTTAAGGTCACTTACGTATTCAGCATAATAATTGAGAACTTTAAAGATTATTCACTGAAGGCATTTTTAATTGATCAAAATAAAAAAAATATATCAAAAAATTTATGAAATAATTCACAAGAACTCAGAAATATTATTAACAACATTGCACATGCTATAAATTGACTGTACCTGTCTTGTCAATTTAATTTTAGGAGAAGTAAATTTTTTTAAAATAACCTTCAAATAAACGGAATAATTTTTAAAATAAAAAAAATTTTTGTATGATTAATAAACTTCTCATAATTAGGAATACCGAAAAAAGAATTTTCAATTAATTAGGAAGTTATTGTTTTCTTCCATCTTGAACTGATTCTATAAAAGTAATTATAATCAACACTAGGTGGCAAAGACAGTAGCGCTGCTCTCAGAGAATTCATGTATTAATGTGTCAACAACCAACCGGCATCTAGTTGAATTCCTAGGCCACGTCAACTAAATACACATATTTGAACCATCATTAAAATAGAGACTATAATTATTTAATTAAAGTAACTAATAATACAGAAATAACAATGACAACAAATTCTGACCGTCGTGTTGCCTTGATAACCGGCATTACTGGGCAAGTAAGTCAAAGTTCGAATTGTATTTTGTAAACATAATTTATTTTTTGTTTTAAACAAATATGTTTCCACTCAGGATGGCTCATATTTGGCTGAATTTCTATTAGAAAAAGGGTATGAAGTACATGGAATAATTCGAAGAGCCAGTTCTTTCAATACTGGCAGAATTGAACATCTTTATGCTGATCCAAAAAGTCATAGACAAGAAAAAATGAAATTGCATTGGGGTGATATGACTGATTCCAGTAGTTTAGTCAAAGTTATTGCAACTGTCCAGCCAACCGAAATTTATAATCTAGCTGCTCAGAGTCATGTTAAAGTAATTTTATTTGTTTCAATAACTTCAGTATTGTTAAGTTTTTAATTACTGCATTATAAATTGTTGTAATTATGTTTAGGTGAGTTTTGAGCTAAGTGAATATACAGGCGAAGTTGATGCAATTGGTACAGTTCGACTATTAGATGCAATAAGAACTTGTAAATTGGAGAAATCTGTAAAATTTTATCAAGCATCTACCTCAGAACTTTATGGTGGAAAAATTTCTACCATACCGCAAAGTGAAACAACACCTTTTTATCCCAGATCTCCTTATGGTAAATTATTTTCACAAACTACAATCAAGTTTATGAAACTACATATCAATAAATAACATGAACATATTTTTTTATTGCATGACAGCTTGTGCGAAAATTTATAGCTACTGGATAGTTGTAAATTATCGAGAAGCCTATGGTCTATATGCGTGCAATGGAATTCTATTTAACCATGAAAGTCCTAGAAGAGGAGAAAATTTTGTTACAAGAAAAATTACTCGGAGTATAGCTAAAATTCATTTAGGCTTACAAGACTTCCTGGAACTTGGTAATTTAGATGCTAAAAGAGATTGGGGCCATGCCAAAGATTATGTGCAGGTATTTTTTATATACATATAATTGTTTTAAGTAAAGAAAGAAAAAATATTAATGATTCAATCATATTATGTTAATTTAGGCAATGTGGATGATGCTGCAGCAAGAAACACCTGAAGATTATGTTATAGCAACTGGTGAAAGTCATAGCGTTCGAGAATTCGTCGAAGAAGCTTTTCGATATATTGGAGTTGATATTATTTGGGAAGGTGAGGGTGTTGATGAAGTTGGACTTGACAAGAGTAATCGAAAAATTTTAGTACGGGTTAATCCTAGATATTTCCGTCCTACTGAAGTGGTAAGCATTGATACAAAAATTGCTTTTGACATGTTACATTGAAATGTTAAATAATTCATAATTGCTTGAAAGGGAATGCTTCTTGGAGATGCTACTAAAGCTAAAGAGAAATTTGGTTGGAAACCATCTATCACATTTGAAGTAAGTCAAGTGTAAGAGAATGAATATCAAATTAAAAATATATTTAACAAAAATTCTCATTTCAGGCATTAGTTAAAGATATGATGAAGGCAGACTTAGAGTTGATGAAAAAAAATCCAACTGCTTAATTAAAGCCAGTATTACGCACAATTTTAAGAATTAAGTCATTCCTGAGGCTTTTATAATTAAGTGCAACTATACTGAAATTTAAAAATGAATGTCCATAATCAAAGTGTTAACTATTTTATAAATATATATGTATATAAATATAGATAAAGAGCATCTGTACTTATTTCTTAGCCAAACTTTACAAATGAAAAATTTTAAATATAACAGTTAAATGAAAAAATCATGCACGTACATAAATATATGCATAAAATTAAAAGAACCCCTTGTTTTATGATAATTTTTTCTAATTATTTATGTTAATTACTATGAAGATTATTATTACATTATACTTTCTCATTTACTCCAAAAATATTCATGCATGTGTATGTATGACTGTTGATCACTCATGCATGTACTGCGCCACATAACCTACGAATTCGATTCTTTAAAGGATATACGAGCAAGTAATCTCGTAATTTTATTGAATATCAAAGTTCAAAAAATAATGATAAACAATTAAAATCGAACTTTTAATTTGTGAATAATTCAAGTGAAAAAAATAGTAATAAATCATCATTAATTTAATTGAGAAACATTGTTCAAAAGGTGAAAATGAATAAGGTACCAAGTCGGCTTTTATTAGCAAACATATCAAGAATACAAGCTCATGCTGTTCATAATAATGCAGCATTATTAGAAAATTGTCAACACATTAACAACAGAAATCCAAGAAATCTAGAACTGATGAGAATAGCTCTAAAACCAACTGGTTATTTTCTTGAACAACACATTCCATCATATTGGCATAAGTAAGATACCGGCAAGAATTTATTTATAAAATTATGGTCCAATAATAATGATTTGATATTAAATATTACAGATTTACTATTGACTCGTCAGCAAAGAATACTACTTTTGAAGTTATACATTTTGAGAATGGAAAAGTTCTTGATGTATCAACTAAAGAATGGACAATCAAAAAACGTTTATACAGGTTAATGATTAAATAAAATCAGTAAAAACAGATGATTTAGGCCATATATTGAATAATCAAATGAATATTAATTTCAGGTGTACCGACACCTCAACTTATTTGAATCTTGGCAGAATTTTAGCAAAACGATGTATTGAAAGTGGAATACATTTTTTGTACGTAGATCCCAAATTAAATCAATGTGAAAAGCTCACTGCAGCTTTAAATCAAATAGAAGAAGGAGGAATTGTACTAGAGGAACCTTCGAGATATGTAAAACCAAATCGTTGGGATAATTTACGGCCTGAAAAACCATGGGAAGTTATAGAAAGTTAATTTTTTTTTTTTTTTACAAATAAAGTAGCTTTATTATACCTAAAATATTACAATTTTGTGTAACTTTATTCACAAGAAATAATTATATTAAAAAATGCAAAATACATTATTTAATATTACAATTATGAGTTGAGAGATTATTAAAATTCATCCTTTATGTTGTTTAACCGAGTAAATTAACATATGAACTCAGTAACATAGTTCAAGAGTGTCGCAGGGAATCCACTTTGAACTCTCTAAAGCATCCCACAAATTGTAATCTTGTTCAATCATTTCTCTGTTATGCTTATCAATGTCGATAGGGATAGAATGTTCTGGAAAAAATCAATATATTAGTACTCAAAAAGAATCATTACTTATATAAATGTAAGCAACTAATTTAAAAATTACCAATAAGTTCAAGGTCGTCTTCTTCAGGTTTGTGCTCCGATTGATAAGTACTGTAGACATCAGAAGTTGGTTCACTCTCAGAGTATCCTTGTTGCCATGCACTGTAACTATTCCAGTACGAAGAAGTATCATAATAGTTATAAGTCTCAGTACTCGAGTTAGCTGACGAATAATCTGATGATGACACTTGTGGTGGAGTGGATCCAGGGACTTTATTCCAGGGTCTTGGAACTGCATTACAAATTTTTAAAGATTTTGTTCCTAATCCCTTATATCCATTCATAGCCACTAAACTATTTTTTTGTTCTTCTTCATTAGCAAATCGTACGAAACCATATCCTTTACTAAATCCTGAACTATCTAAAATGACTTTGGCAGTTCTAATAGAATTATATTTGGCAGCAAATGCTCTGTATAATGAGTAATCATCAACATCTGTAGATAAAGCACCAACCCAGATACTGAATTCACGATCTGCTGTCGGTTTACCTGTAGTACTTGCGTGATTCAGTCGAAATCTGACAGCCTGAAATAAATCATATTCATATCAATGAAAAATTTATGACCATCGTAACGATTATATTTCAAAGAATGATTATAAATAGTAGTTACTTACTGGATTAGATCCAGGAATTACTTTTCCGTTTAATTTATGCATTGCATCTAAGGCCATTTCATCTGTTGGAAAATGAACAAAACAATATCCAGCAGGCTCACCAGTATACCGGTTCCTCATAACCTTCACTGTCTGTGGTTGTTCTCCCATTTTGTGGAAAGCATTCATAATAAAACTTTCAGTCATATAAGGTTCCAACTACAAATGAAAATCAAACGAAACTTATTTAGAAAGATTGTAATTGACAAACTTAGTAATATAATCTTACAATTCTAACCTCTCTGGAACGACATGAAAACGTTTTATGATTGAAATGATCACAAAATTCATAAAACATTACATTAATTATTTACTAAATTTTAATTTCCTTCTTGGTAAAGATTCAAAATTTGTTTAATGTTAAAATATAATAAAAATAAGCTTTTTCAAAATTTTATGATTACTTACACCCCCCATCCATAGTTGACATAAAACCATAGGTCCCGACATGATTTTGATGATTTTTTAATCTCGTTATGAAAGTTAAAACTCACTTTAAATCAGAATATCAAAATAATATTAAAACAAATAAATATTTAAATAAAAATTGCTCACAATTTGTACTGATTCGAAAACTGCCAATCTGTTGTATACAAACAAGTCTGCCTCGGTTGAACTTCGTAACTCCAATTGAATTTAGGAGTGGGGGGTGATCTGTTGATAAAAACAATTCCCGCTTTACTTTCTGAAAATATTCTTCATTATCGACAGTAAATAGAAAAGTTTTTAAATTATCGAAGGAGAAAAAAGTTGAATAAACAAATGAAAATTTTTATTATTCTTTCTAAAGAAAAATTATAATACATTATTATTAATATCATATCAAATATTAAAAAAATAGGTTAAGTAATGCTCATTTTTCAAACTGCAAGAATTGACAAGTTTTTATGAATATTTAATACTTTATAGGGTTATGATTAATAAGCTGCTCTATATAGCTATATAAGTGTATTATTTATGTTGAGCTTTTTTTATTTATCAGTAAATAGAAAAAATATTCTTATGCATTCTAATTATACATGTTATCATTCAAAGTAATAGTCAGAACAGTTAAGATTTATTCAGAATAGTGACCCACACGAAGTAAAATTTCTCTTGGTACACGTCCGAATCCTCAGTACGTGATCCCTAAAATCCACTCGGATTAACAGGATAAATGCGTGTAATGTTGCAAGAGACCTCACACGAGAACGGAAATAATCTGCAAGCTCAAATTTATCTACATAATTCCTTGCCGTGGAATGCTTTTGAATAATCTTTGATACAAAAATATACATCCAGGATGACAAAAACATCAAGACTTTAGTTCATGAATCTTTAAATAACTCTATCAATTTTCCATTATCATTCAAAACATCAATCAGAAAATGGTATGATTATTTTAGTGTCCAACAAAAAAAAGTTCAATTATAAAACTTATATAGCTGTGACGAAGTCATTTGAAAGTTTGATGATGGTTTCCATCGTGTGAACTGGTTACTAAGGAATGTAAAACATGTGCATACGGAAATGAAGGATCATGTCGAGAATTTGGAAAACCGTGCCTAATGACCCACAACAAAAAAAGAAGAAATCAGTCACATCATTAAAGTAAATAGTTTGAGAATTTTTTAGTACATTCTCATGCTTTAAAAAACAATCGTTTGCTGTATAAGAAATATGCTGATGCATGTGCATGTATGTGTATTCAGAAACTTCAAATGATTTCCATCAACTCCAACGACCGATACGTAGCTGTTCGATGGACCTGCATTTGCATTTAATCGATTTCTCTCTGCCCAATATCATCCTTTCCGCCCGAATTGCCTTTGTCTCTTTGAAATTGGGGAATCTATTGAAATGGGTATACACTATTGAGAGGGAAAAGAGCAATTTATTTCTTGTGTACTTAGAATTGAGAAAGAAGATGGTTTCTTTTTACAATTTACCAAGCAGGATTTTAAACTTTTTATCAGATAAACATCGGTTGATACTCAATTTTTATTATTTTGTTGGAGTTTGTAATTATATTGATCAAAGGAAGCTATCAAAAAAAAACTTATTTACACATATTTATTTGAGATTAAAATATTTAATGAGATTTTCTATTCTAACAACATGCATTACAGATGACTGTGTTCAATTATTTCTCCACAAGCAGCTGGTTTCAGTAGTCCCTCATCATTATCGACAATCAGCAGGATCATTACATAAGTTCAGTTAATTGGAATAATAGATGCTATGACCCGGCATACACCAATCGGGGAAAAAACCCGTCGATAATTTCGTAGTTAACATGTACGAATATTTGACACCTGACAAAGACAATTCTTGCTAGTGATCTACGAAAATCTTCAAAGGTCGGATACATTGAACCAGATGTCTATCTCCTGCTTAGACTCCATACATAATTTCTGTCAATCTGTGGGTCATGTGTATAATCTCACAGTAAGTTAGAATAGTCATTTCGTGTGGTCTTTAAATTTTTGACATCAACCAGCATCAACTCATTCTTGTATCACCATCTTCAGCTTTATTTATAATGTGCGGATCAAGTTAAATGACTGTATTACATTTTCTCGCCTTAGTCTGAGCACTCGCTTTACAACATATTCGCGGTCTCTTTCATCTCGTCACATCGCTATTTCTAATATAAAGTGTCGTCTTGCGGTGGATACTCTTCACGTATGCAATTTCCAAACGAACCTAACGACAACGACAGTTAAGAGAAACGGAAACAGCTACTTTGGGCGTGTCACCAAAGGAATTTCTTGGGTGGATTACTTTGAACCCGGAAGAACCTTCTTTCAAATGCACGACACTTCTCTTGAATTTCTTATAACAAAGATGAGTTCTCTTATAAATGTACCTCATATTTTTTATTCGAATTTTATTATAATCCTTTATCTCTCTTTTTGGCTGAAAGGATTATTAGGCCATTTTTTATTGTGTATTTCTCTGGGAAATTCAATTATTCTTTCGTGTAGGTGAGCTTTTTTTGACATTCAGGATCACAAAGTGGATTTTAAATTAAAGTTACAAAAAATATATGGAAAATAACAATGCCTCTGAGAACAATTGTTTTCGTTTCGTTTAATAAACTTGTTGAAAGTTTCAAATATTTTTAGAATAAAGTAATTAAAAAATTTATAAATAAATTGATCAATAAATAAATGATTAGTAATTACTTTTACTTGGATTAAGAACTGGCTCTATTAGAACAATCAAATATTTGACCAAGTCTTCACTTGAATATTTAAATAATTTCTATTTATTCGTCCATCTGGTATAAATATTTCACAGTAAGATTTAGTATTCATAGCTAGCGAGGCGTAGTCTACAGATTTTTCCGTGATTCCTATTTTTTTTAAAGCTCTTACATACCACACATGTCATCGTTGTTGGTCGTATGTACATGTTTTCAGGGTGAATATTTTCCTTACTGTACTGTCAATTTATTGTCATACTACTTTCAGTCAACCATCAGCACAATATTCTAGAATAATGGATTAAGTCACATAAAGCAACAGTAATACTGTTATAAACTCAAGTGAGATATGTAGAGATAAATAAATTTTATGTATCTCAAGATTTTTCTACTCTTTTTCTGTACCTAGATCAACTGGAGTTTCAATAAATAGTTTTTTGCAATCCGAACAATATTATGTTCACTCAAAATCATATTATTGGGTAGACTATTTTTATCTGGGCATATCTGCGTACTCACATTGATTTAATATTCTTGGTAACAATATATAAAAATGTGACTTGTGGAATTTTTTTCCGTTATCATAAAATAAATCTCTCAGAAGTTGGTAAAATAATAAAAATAAATGAATACAAAATATCGATAAAAAGAATAAATTATTTAATGAAATAAATTGTAGTCGCAAGTAAACTTATTATTATTATTTTATCTTCCTAGCTTTTTAAAGTTTTAGCATCGATTTAGTTTGAGATAAGAACAGCGAAATATACAGCTCACTTTTCACAGAATATTTCTACATTCAGGTCAGAAGAGACATCAATTTACATTAGTAGGTGTTGGTAGTGTTTAACCGAAAAAGAATCAAGAATTACAGAACAATGATTATAAACAAAATTATCAATATTCATTTATTTATTGTTATTATTTTTTTAAGTCAAAAGATAAATCCTTTAAATATCTTAACTAAAAATAATAGTATGAATAATCATCAAAATAAGAATTTCATGATTTTTAATACAGTGGTATTTTATAAATTTAACTATAAATAAATTTTTGCAATTACTGATAATATTAAACATAACAATTTTATTGTGATAGATTATTTCTTTTTTATAGAGAGAATTATTGGTGGAATGTTTTCCTGATAATATGAAAACAGTAATTACTACAGCGGAATTGAGCCAACATATTAATGAATATTTGTGTGATTGCAATTATCATCTGCCTTTGATTTTAATTAACAAAAATTTCAAAACAATAATAGAACATCAGCTCTATCCAGAATTGCCTACGGTCATTTTAACAACAAATTCCAATGAAAATACTAAAGTTCTTCTTTTAAAGTTAAATTCCTCTCCCTGGTGGAATGTGAAAGCATTTTTTATTTTTGTTGGAACTTGGGAATATTCATGTAAAAATGCATCGGAAATACTTCACACAGCATGGACGAACAAGTTGTTATCCTCGATATTTTTATGTTATCAGAATTATGAAAATGTCGTGATGGTATATACCTATAATCCTTTCACACATTATGCTCCATATCCTTGGAAAAAACATGAAAATGATGATAATTTAAATAAAAGCTGGACATTATATGAACAAATTTATCAGAAAGGTATTTTTACTTTTATTCTTTTCAAATAATTTACATTAAAAATTTATCTGAAAGTTTCTAAATGAACTTACTGTCCAACTAATCGAGTTCATATCAATCTTCATCAGAGAATTCTTACCTTTTGTAATCTAATTTAATATTCATTATTTAATATCATTTTATAAAGTTTGAAAATTGATTTTGCAGGTTCTCTGCTATGCTCTAGTCTGAAGTACAACAAATTAAAGTACCTTGATGGCTATCAAATAAATGCAGTTAGTACATCAAGAACTTCCATAGATGATGAACCAACAAAAAAATATAACATGACGAGCATAAAATCAAAGATGAATAATTATTCATGGTTTATTGCTGATAATTATCTTTCTGCTTTAAATATTACACCAATAATTTATTACAAAAAACAAGGAATATTTTCGGATTTAGCCAACGGACTCTATGATCTACTTCTATCACCACGATTAGTCATTCACACATCTACGAATTACAGTCAAAGTTATCCATATATATATTTACCTATAGTGATATTAACTCACAAAAGTCAATTCCTAACACCCCTAGAAAAAATTAGATCTTTCTATGATCCCTATGTTGTGATATCAACTTTTGCTGCACTATTGACTTTATTGACAGCTTTAATGATTCATAAATACCAATCTTTCATGTCAGCATTCCTTGATATCATTCGTATTGTGGTACAGAACAGTATTTTACAGCCTTTAAAAAAATTTTCTATAAAGATTCACTATTTTGGAGTTGTTTGGCTCATGTTAATTATTTATGCAACAATTGAAGGTAATATGGCTGCATTTTTAACAAGACCCGGTCGAAATAATATTGAAACAATACAAAATTTAATAGACATGGAATATAAAATTTACATTTATGAACATTTGTTAGAACCATTTGTTAAATTAAAAACTTTATCGGGCGGAAAAAATGTCATCATTCAGAAATCTCCAAATTGCTTTGATCAAATTGTTAACGATTCTCGTTCTGCTTGTATTACATTTGGATTGAACGTCATCCAGCCAGCATGGAAACATAATTTACACATGTCTCAGCCAATCCATCATGTTTATTTGAATTACATTGGAAATCGTGACTTTTCTTTGATGAAAAGAATTGATTTTGTTTTATCACGGTTTATGGATTTTGGTATTTTGGATTACTGTTATCAACGGTATTATGGAAACTTGAAACAAAAGATGGAAGATCACGAAACTTGGGAGACTGAATTTAACACACGACCAATTGAAATGATGGATATAAATTTTGCATTCGTGTTGTATTTTATTTGTATTCTCTGCTCTTTTATTGTTTTTCTATTTGAAATTACTTTTACAAGAAATTTTATGCTACGATAAATCACAAAAAGTTATTTAAATAAAAAAAGTTTCATGTTATTTATGATGAACAGAGTTATCAAATTCAACCATGAAGAAAAAAAATTTTTAACAAACAAAAACAAGACTTTCTGCAACAAAATAAAAAAAATACTAAAAGTGTCATTCTATCGAAAACTTTTTTGTTGTCTTGTTAATGTGTTTGTATTCCATAAAAAAAAGTAATATTATTACTCGTTACAAACAAACTAGTTCACTTGCAGCTGATAATGTCTTCTTATACACATTTTTATTATTCAAAGAATAATGTAAAAGTATACAATATAATACGATACTGGATCTTGAAAATGAATTGGATATGAAGCCTGAAAGTTTAAGTAGTCAAAATAAAGTTCAATAAAACTCGAAAGAATGATGGGAAGACTTTGAAATCTATGAAACTCAAGGTAAAGAATTTTCTTTATGTATATCCGCTTGCAAAGTCGCGTCAGAATCCTTTATGAAGGATATTGATTCGCTTATTTCTGAATGTTCTATTTGCGGGAGGGTAAATAAAGGCCCTTGAAATTCAAAGTCGAATTAAAAAATTTTTTTTGAATAATTTACAAGGCACGAGAGTTTTTAAGAGTTAATTGAGCTTGAATATATCATCTCGAGAGTGCTGGGTGACACAGTTAGAAAACACGATGCTTTGGAAGTAACTTTTATATACAACTTTAAAGTGTCACATTGATGAAAATAAAAAACTCCAACATAGTAGAAGGTGAAGAAGCAGACTGTTATAACATATCGATGGCATCGTGGCGTGTTCCTTACATGAGGGAGCCGAAATATCTTGAATTTTACCGATAACGTAACATCGACGTGTGATGAACGACAGCAGATGCACTTTAAGAGACCTTAAGAGGGCTTAAGGATGTTTTGAAAACGTGCCGAAATTACGCTAAAATGAAAATAACATTACGATAGATCTCTTGAAAATTTTATGAAAACTTTAATGGTTTTCCGGTTTTCGAAAGGGCGTGCCACCAAATGATCCTTCCATATATCCGGAGAATCACCGTCACAGCTGTATTATATTATTTATCGGAATATCCTGACTCCTTTCTAGATGTTTTCTCTCAGACACGCTTTCTTATATAACCCAGCATTTTTCAATTTCCAAGTTGGATGCCGTTACTGGATAAAAAGAGATGTTTTAAGTAAAATTTATTGATCGGATAGACATTAATCTTTACTTATTTAACGCCTGTCATTTTATTTTTACTCAGGATATTATTTATTTCCTGTCTCAACCCATTAGCTAACATTTTGACAAGTAATATTTTTCCACAATTATCAGTTAAAATTTTTTTTTCTTGTCATTTAATTATTCTCTTGGAGAGGAAAATATTTCTAATTGTCGACAATGCTCTTTTCTTTTTTTAGAATGCGAGAATTTAAAAATAAAATTAATAATGAGTAAAATTGTAGTTAAAAAGGTTTAGAATAATTTTTTAGAGTATTAATAAACAGCAAAAAGAGATTTTATTTATTTAAGCAGTCAATTGAATTTATTTTTATGAATTTTAGATTCATTTGTTGATTTATAGCAGACTATTGCTTTTATAATAATTATTTAAGTATAATATTTACGTAAATCTATTTATTAATTCCGACCCTTTGAAATGAAATCAACGTCTTTATCAGTAAATGTCAACGCCTGATTCACAGCTTACACTGTAATTTAATTTCCATCCACAAAAACTTTAACGCTCAGTCTAAAATTATCAAAATATTGATTCCCTTAAACATATGTCACTCATTTATTCACTAATTTAATAATTTTTCTAGAAAAGCTTAAAAATTAAATTATCTCGCTTTAAGTGGATTATAACATAAAGATTTATAAAAATCCACCAAATTCATCTGCAGGCTTTTTTAAGTACTCTTTTTATATCCCTAGAATGGTGGAGAATAAAAAATGTTGAAAAAGATTAAACGAAGATTTCATCGGCAGTTAAGGATCTAAATGACGGAAATAACATTTCCAACATTCATAAAGCGTTCGAAAGTACTGGAGCAATTGTATCAATAAAATTAATATTGACTTTAAAAAGAAAAAGAGTCTTACTGCAGTTTAGTCAATAAAGTTGTCTGTTGAGGTTAGTAAAATATATCCTTTGAGCTGGGTCAAATATCATTGGAGAGGCGGAACCAGCCAAGGATCAAATGAAAAAGAAAACACTGTTAATACTGGTACTTCCGGTTACATGGTGTATCTAGTATCTTATTTAAACCAAAGTATTACCAAATTACTGTTGACTTTGTTGTAATTATATTTAACGATATTTTATCTTAATTATCTGGAACGAAGTCTCTAAACGACGTGGCAAATTCACCGAAACGAAGACGTTGATGTCGATTTCTTGGATGTCATTCGTAAGCCATCCACCGGTTGTCTAAACAGCTATAAAAGCAATCTGCCGTAGAACGTAAAACTACAAAGACAAGCGAAATGCTTTGACAAATTGTTCCTCACTATTTTATCAATTTTAACTCTTAATTTGGCGAATGGTCGTGAAGACATTTGTTTTCTACCTTTCAACACATCTCTGTTGGTATTTTTATACGAAAATTATTTATTTAATGTTTGATAAAATAATAATAAAAATTTTACTCATCATATTTTCATTTTTATGCTATTTTTGCTGAGCAAAGTGAAATAAATAATAAAAATATCATATAATTTATCTAACTTTTTCTCACTTAAAGTTACGCACCAAGTATTTTTTTCAATCTCCTTCAATTTTTATAGCCATGCATTATAAGTTATATTTCCAGCAAAGTGTCGACTTGTAGCTGACATCTTCGAAGAGCTCGAGTGTTAAGGCATTTATGGATATCATTAATAACTTTTTGTCAGATGCTTCATGAAATTTTCCTTGCACTTGACTCCATTAATATTTCGAACTACTTGGCTGACAAGTCTAGTTAATTATTGTTTGATTGATGGATTTTCTTAAATACATGCAATATTAAAAATTTTTAATACACTTCAAAAACTCCTCAATATTTAATTATCTCCTCCATTAAAAATAAATCATTTTTTTGTTTTTCATAAATATCAGAATTTTATTCATTATTTATATTAATAATTGCAACTATTTATAATAAACAATTGAGCATTTTCATGAATAATTTTGAGATATTTTAACGATACATATGAATAAATTTATCAATAATTATTTGATTCATTAATAAGAATAATAATGATTAACAATTAAAACTAATTTTATAATAATAATAATAATTATAAACTAATTAAATATTTATTAATTAATTAATAAAGACTACTAAATAATCATATTTTTTTTTTAATCTTTGGCGTCTATTTTGGTAAACAAAGATAAACTAATTAATTATCTCATGAGTATGAATCATATTAAATAATTACATTACATTATATTAAAAAGAATAATATTCATTTGGTCACAAAATAAAATGATACAAAATTACCTATCCATCATAATTTTCATTCTAAAAAATTTCTCATCATCTTAATGATTGTTAAAATTAATACTGAACATATCCTAATTATTCGATGGATAATTATTATCATTTGATTCGCCACTTATACTCTGGACAATCATATTGAGACAATCAAGACTACTCCCAGTGTTTTGATTCGCAGAAGCCTCTGTTGGTTCGAAACCTGAAACAAGGAAACAAGAGAAATACTGATTAGATTGTGCACACTATAATTTTAGAGATAACAAAATAAAATAAGTATCAAGTAATAGGATGAAAATAGGTAGGAAAATTGAAAGTCGATCATATTCAATATTAACAATGAAAGCAATTAACTCTATTAAACGTCAATTTTCCTGCCATAACTAGAGGGTGAGAGCTTTTTTAATTGACAAGATCAACATATTTCGAAAAATGATGCTGATAAATGCATTAAATGGAACGAAATTTCATTTTAATAGAGTAAAAATTAATTGACTTTGACAGTTTCTCAAATAGTAAAAAGTGAATGGAAAAAATTGTAGAATACGGGAGATTGGAAAGGGTGGCAATTAGTTCACGGTAAATTTAATCGGCATCATTGAAGTCTTGGACAAAGGATTATTGAATAGACCGGAAGGTCGTAGGGGCCATTTGCAACTCACAGAAGCGCTTTGGAATGGGTGCGAGAAATTGACTTCGACTCTCCCTATTCCCTGCAGTATAATTACATCAGTTAATTACTCAACTTCTACGAATCCAGACATCATTTTCTTGGGACAAATGTATACATATACTCATGTGTGAATTAAGGCGACATTAGTGGATATAAATAAAAAATCATTTCACTTAAGAAATACAAGACAATGGCGAAAGAGACGAGAAAAGAATATAACACAGATGAGAGACATGAGGACATGATGAATCGAGAGTCATAGTAGACTGCAACAAGGTAGAATATGAAAAGTGCTTGTTCAGCCGGGGTTCATGGCTGCCAAGAATAACGACATCAAAGCTTTCTCTTTCTTACTGTATATGACCAAACGTCTCATGAAACTCATACACCACCCCTGAACTTTGAGAAAAAAACACTACAAATAATGAAAAAAAGTTTTCTTCAAGAGCTCCGGATATTCTTTTGCATTTGCAAATGGTTCAAGGTAAAAGCTATCGAGTGAACATTTTAGTTTAATTTATTGAAAGAACTATTTGTTTCACAGGAAATTAAAAATTTTTTTATTCTCTTTATTGCATTTTTTAATTAAATATTTTCCACTTAAGTAATATAAATAATTCAATGTTTCATCAATATTGTTTAAAACTTTTAAATACTTTTATTTTCAAGGTAAAAACTTGTCTTTTTTAGATAAAAAAAATTAGTAACTAATTGATGTTGATAAAAATAATTTATTAAAAGTCTTTAAAAGATTTGAGTTCTACTTTGAATGGAAAGTAATAAGAAAAGTAATGTTTTTGATGTTCAATTTTTATAAAGTAAAATATAAAAAAGAAAATTGGATTTCAATCAAAACTTCTATCACAGCAATTCTAAAACTATTTTCGAGTAAAGTTTCACATTTTTGCACTGTAAAACTGTAACAATTATTGCCAAGAAAATGAGATAATTCGTATTTGTTCGAAAACTACAACTGCTGTTAGAAGACACTTGTACGAAGAGGAACAATATATGCTATGACAGTCGGGTGCAGCAATGTTAAAAACAAAAAGTAGAAATAGAGAAGAAGCAAGAAGAGTTGGGGTACAAAAGGAAGTAATTGAAAGAGAAAAGAAAAGACAAGACGTGAGTTGGTGGATAAGTGTCTGTCAGAATCAGAGAAGATGAAGACGCAAGAGAAGTGTTAAAGAATAAGAAAGGGGACTTCCATCGACCACAATCATCATCGTCGACCAATTATCGGAGGGCTGGCACAAATGTCATCATCATAAGCCAACTTACAGACCGCCAAGTGTCGTTCCTCATGAGCCGCTGTCTTCATATGACGTCCGAAACATTTAGCATTTATGTGCTGCGATGTAATACAGAACACTTAATATTAACGACCTTCTCGTCTTACTTGATATAATAATACTTATAGAAAGTGCACTAGAGGCTTTGATCGGTTGTTTTTTTTACTAACTGTTGATGCCAGCCAACACAAGAAAAATATTCGATTCTGTAACTGACCTACCACTTGGATCAAGATATTCTAAGTTAACTTGATACTTTACTGCGTCTTGGAAAGATATAGAAATATTGGAAGAGAGACGTGTTGACAGATGCCAGTCTTTGGCTACCAAGAGCAGGTGGCTATTCTCTCAACAACTCTCTATAGTACACTGACACGCATATGTACCAACTTGTATCACCACACTTCTTTATTTTTTTTCGTTTTATACTATTAAAAATTGTCTCTTGACTCAGAAATCATTTTTTTTATTTTTTAAATTCCATTTATGATTTTGGAGTAATTTAAAAAAAGCTGAGTACACTGAAAATATAATATTCTTAAATCAAGAATGATTTCATTTTTAATAATAATTATACATTATACAGTAAAGAGTCTTGTTATGTCAATTTGATTATGATTTAGAAATATTTATTATTTAGTTCTTTTTTTTTACATTAAATGTAGTTTAATGAATCAAAATACTTTGGTAGAGTTATGATAAGTATAGATGACTTTGATTTTGAATTATTGCTTCAATTGTTGGAGAATAATCATTTTTATGAATTATAAAAGTTATAATAGCAAAAGTTATCGATATAAGCAGGTGTCCTAATAATTTTCATCATAAAATGGCCTTGGGAATTGTCGACAGAAAATTTTAAATCTGGAGTTTTCAGGATTTATTTATCTGGAAAATTTTTTTACTATTATACTACCTTTATTTTCAGTATTAAAATATTTTAATAGAGCATTAAAATTCTCTAGAGATTTATTATACACTTGATAAATTGAATGATTGCGATAAAATATACCTCTTAACTGATGAAAATTTTAATTTCATTAAATTTCCTATGAGAATGTGGGGAAAATTAGTATTCTATAATTTGTATGAGATGCCTTGGGAAAAGTTTATACTCAGAAAATGTCATTTGTAGGAATCTACGGGTGTATTCGGTGTAACCGCATGAAAGCTCGATAAGCCCAGCTCTCATGGTGAATCAGCTTAACTGTGCTGGTATCTTTGCTTAAAAATCTTATAAATCTTTCAATATCCGTTTTATGATCTTCAACAGATATATGTATATTTTTTCACAGAATTATTTGTTCGTATTAAATAAGATTCAAAAAAATAGGATAAAATTTAAAAAAAAAATAATGAGAATAAATTTATTTTTAGAATTCTATAAATAATTATTAATAACTATTGACAAATATGTATTTAGCTTTAGAGATTTGGTTTGTTTTTAATAGGACATTACTAAGGTCTTAGAAGACCTTTAAATAAATATATAACTCGAAAAATGTTATTTACTAAAAATAAAGTTTTTAAAAATATCATTTCCTACTTTATGAACAAATTCATTTTGGCTCTTTTTTAATTGAATGAAAGTGTTTGTTTTATGTTTGAATAAGTTTATTGAATTAATTAATCCTTTTATGAGATTAAGAACAATTTAAAAATTGAAATTAGATATATTAATGTTATTTAAAAAAAATAGAATAAAAAATTTTCAAAAAAAAACTATTGAATGAATTTTATTCCAACAGTTTTTTTATGAATTATAATTGTGAATATTTTATTCTGAAATTCAAGACTATGACTTGGTTTCATAATTTTTTCATTGTTGTTACATAAAGTAATGGAAGAGTTTGTTACCTACCAGATGATTTAATTAAAAACTTTCATCAAATCAAAAACAAAAGAAAAATTGAGAAAAAATTATTTGAATGAGAAGAAAGTTTGTCAATAGCTGAACTTGAATTTTTCATTCAAATAAATGAAATTCATTTCTTGGGAATAAAGTTTTTTTTTTGTTCCTTTGTTCTTGGACTTTAACGATATCTTTGTGGTGTAGGAAAATTTCAATTATAGTGCAGTAGCTGGGAAATGTGATGTGCTTAGTGGAATGCTGAGAAGACATAAAAGCAGAGGTTTGCAAGCTGGGTAAGTATTTATTCCTCTGTTATTTTTTCCGCTACAAACTACCCTTTCTTGCTCAGTCAGATCTTTTAAGAAACAACTAGAATCACGTAATATGCAAACAAGTAGAAAGAATACTAAAAACAAATTAAATCTTGTTTCTATAATTTATTCGTCAATTTTAATTCCAATTTTATATCCAACGAACCATAAAAATTTATGGAGAAGAGGAAGTAAATGCTGTACTTTTTTGTAAAAAAAAATAAACTCTTTTACATTATTCTGTTCAACTACTGCTATTCAATGTTTTTTATATTCGTGTTTCTCAAATTAGAGAAAATTAAATTCGATATCGGAACAAAGCCAAATTATTTCACTTCCAAAAATTTTAGTTGATTAATAAAAAAATCGTTAAAAACACTAGTAAGCTTCAGTTCACTTCAGTAAACGAACTAATTTTTTAGCTTTTTTTTTAACTGTATGATTTCATTACTGCTCCAATAATTTAGACAAAGTATTATCTAATAAAAAGTATGATTTATTTAATCAAAATCATCTATAAATGTTGTAGAAAAAAGTGTTATAAATGGAGTTACATTCAACATGTCACGAATAATAAATATTTTATAAAACTACTTTTTCCCAAAAGAGTGAAGTGATAATTAAAATCCCTCTAATTGAAAAAAAAAATTCCAATGTCTTATTTAACTTTTACATGATGTACTTTCAATGTACTTTAACACTATTCCCTCGAGCATTTCGCTACTCACTTTTATTTTCATCAAATTAATTGTCTTACCTATAACTTCTAGATCATTAAACTTTATAAAGTGTAATTATTCAGTCTTATTTGATTTTTTTGTGCTGTAAAACTCCAGAGACCAACGTGAAAGACAAAAGTCGTTTAAGTATAATTTAAGTTAGCTCAAGTTGTTTCCACATCACTTGTACTTGGCAGACTTTAAACCTACGAAGATTTCATCTAATCAGCGCGATTAATCGTCCGTTTTGCTCAAATCCATCGTCATAATATTAACTAACGTCATCTGCAAAAATAACTAGTCAAATTTCATCATAGAGACAGCTAATATATATAAGATATTTATTTGAAAACTA